CTGCCATCTTTGTGTGTGTACGTGTAGGTATACAAACACTTCCGTCTTTGTGTGTGTGCCTGTAGGTGTACAAACACTGCCATCTTTGTGTGTGTGCGTGTAGGTGTACAAACACTGCCGTCTTTGTGTGTGTGCCTGTAGGTGTACAAACACTGCCGTCTTTGTGTGTGTGCCTGTAGGTGTACAAACACTGCCGTCTTTGTGTGTGTCCCTATAGGTGTACAAACACTGCCATCTTTGTGTGTGTGCCTGTAGGTGTACAAACACTGCCATCTTTGTGTGTGTGCCTGTAGGTGTACAAACACTGCCATCTTTGTGTGTGTGCCTGTAGGTGTACAAACACTGCCGTCTTTGTGTGTGTCCCTATAGGTGTACAAACACTGCCGTGGAGGCCAAGGAGTCAACACCAGCTTTCTTCCTCCTGCTCTCTACCTCTCTTTGTTTGTTTGTTTGTTTGTCTGTCTGTCTGTTGACTAGAGACAGGGTCACTCACAGAACCTGTAGCTCACTGACTGGCTGTCTAGCTGGCCAGTGAGCTCCAGGATCTTTCCGTCTCCGGGCATTGGGATTGCAGGCATACACTGCCACTTTAAAGAGGGGTAGGGGTCCTGAAGATCTGAACCCAGATCCTTATAATTGTACAGCAAGCCCAGCACTCATTGGCGCACCATTCTTGTCCCTTGAATATTCAGTTTTCTAAATGCTGAAGGCCTGTTACACTTTCTGGTTTCTCTCTGTTTCAGTTAATAAGTTATCAAACAATGTCTTATCAGAATACTTCCATTTTTAATTTTATTTGTAAGTAAGTCTGTGAAAGCTTACATAGATTGTTGAAATCATATCAAGCATAGTGTCCCTTGGGTACCCTGTTCCTTTTTGCAAGTATACCGTTTTGTTGGGGACAGTTTAACTGGAGTGATTCCATTTTCTCTAGTATGTGTGAGAAATTTCTGCCATTTCTAAATGTTAAGTGCTTTCTTTAAACATCAAAGTAGTATGTAAAAATTCTTAAGGAAACAAGGTAATGTTTAGATATTTTCTTAATTCTGTACATTAAGTTCTTTAGAAATGTCTAATGTTATCAGTTTATTAAACATATCAATATAAAGTTGTTTGCTATCCTTTAATTTTTGAGATGAAGTCTCATGTAGTACAGGCTAGCCTCAAACTTACCATGTAGTCCAGGATGACCTTGAACTCCTCATCTTCTTGCTTCCCCCTCCTGAGTGATAGGCTCACAGGTATATAACAGCACATCAAGTTTATTCAGTGCTGGGCTCAAACCTAGGGCTTCACGCTTCCTTGGCAGGCACTCTACCAACTGAGCTGCATTCCAGCTCTACTCAGTAACTTAGTAGCTGAAACACTAAGACACGAAAAACAAATTCATTTGAGTTTTTGAAACGATTGTTAATTATAATTAATAATAACTTAATTAACTTAATGAATCAAACTCAGGGCTAGATTTTAAATGTATGTATTCCGTGGAAGAAAATTCAACATAAATACTCAAAATGCTAATTAGTTGAGTTCTTGAGAAGTTATAGATTGTGTGTACATACGCGCACATATATGAACAGAGTACACTCAGAAAAAAGTAACAACTGGAAGATACAGCTGCTATCATCTTTAGTTCTGCTGTTTAGACCTAAATTCAGTCATCTCTACACACTCCGTGGTACAAGTCAGCTGGCATAGATTGCCTCCATGACTTGCTCCTTTGTGTGACTTTAGAAGACTCTGCTCTGTTCCCCCTCCTGTAGAATGGTGACAGTAGCAGCACCTATCTCAGAGTGGCCTGGCACAAGCTGACAAGAATCCTGACTCACAGCCCATAGCCTCCCTGTACCATTGGCATCTGTGTGCAGGAAGAAAGTCTATCTGGGTTATTGTCTGATGTCATTTTCATGCACTGGCCATGTATTCTTGCCTCTGACAGCCAAATACTGTTTTTCTTATCTTTTTTTTTTTTTTTTTTAATTTTCTTATTTCATTGGAAGGGTCAGTTTACCTCTAGCTAATATTTTACTGTTTCTCATAAAGCAATTTAGAGTTAAATACATGATTGTGTTCCTATTCTGGAGCAGTGTGTCATGTATCTCATTCATAACAAAATTAGTCTGTATGTAGCATGTTTTTCATAGTCTGTGCTTATTTGTATCCATGTTTAAAAGTCAGATATAAAAGATTTATTTTGTTAGAAAAGCAGTCATACCAGGCCTGGGAGTCAGAGGCAGGCAGATTTTTAAGTTACAAACCAGACTAGTTCCAGGTCAGCCAGGTCTATCTACATAGTGAGACCCTGTCTCAAACAAACAAACAAGAAGGTAGCTATACCTATTGCTGTTTTAAAAGGGCAGTCATGTATCTTGCATTGTTCTTCAGCTAGCTCTTAGAAGATGTGGTGAGAGGAACTGGCTCCTATTAATAACATTGAAGAAACAGTTGAGGGCACTTGGGATGGTCAGCTAGTTAGTGGTGAGGCTGGTGGCTAGAAATGACACCTGTCACTGTGCCCTCTCCTTTGTGAATGACAGGGAAGGAAGTAGCTGCTTGAGCGCAAATCCGGGAGTTCTTTTTAACTAGTGTTTTCTGTTTACAGCCTATGCTGGACCCAGTCATCCTTACCACAATTCAGGATGTTCGGAGTGTGGAGGAGAAGGACCTCAAAGACAAGGTAATTACTCCTTCGCCAGGTAGAGCCTATGCTCGTTAGTCCATGCTAGCCAAGCCAAGTCTTGGCAAGTTCCCGTGCCATTGCTTTCTGGATCCTGATGACATACTGTCCACATCAGATTAACTTGAAGTTCCCTGACCCCATCCCAAAAAAGCTATTTTCAAAACAACTGAGGATAGTGTTATCTCAGTAACTAGAATATTCTAGTATTCTCATGAGTGAGTGATACCATTCAGAGTTTTTTTAAACATGCTTTTGATGGTGTTATAATCAGAATAGATTGGAATAATACTGAATTTTTAGTGTATCTGAAGTAGTTTAGAGCAGTTTTAACACTGAGGAAGACTGTCCTACCTTAAATCCCTTCTATAACAATTTAACTTAACTTTTGCTTAGAAGCAAATGTAGTTAATGGTCATGTAAAATACGAGCTGTCCCCTGGCCACTGTTACCCTATACTGTGTGTGTTATGAGAATTAATATCAGGATGTTTTACAGTTTTTGTTTCTTTGTTTGTTTGTCTTTCTGTTTTTATTAAATGAAAGAGATTGGTTAGCATCCCTGAGCTCTTATCTGCCATTAAGTTACTTTGCATGCGTTTCCAACCGGATCTGGTGACGATTGTGGATGACCTTCGCCTTGACATCCTGCTGCGCATGCTGAAGTCACCACATTTCAGTGCTAAAATGAACTCCCTCAAAGAGGTAAGTTTGCACTTGTTTCAAGAAGACTTCACTCAGATGTGGCTAGATAGAAAGGTGGGTGGAGAAAGAAGAGTTTCTCTTGACCATGTAAGACAGAGATAACAATGGTACTATATGGGAATTGTCTGTTAGTAAGGTTATATTTGTAGTTTCAAGATTTGCTCTCTGAAAAGCTTTATGAAATTTCCTACAGTATCATCCTTAGACATTTACTAAGGGACAATTCTTTTTATTTCAGATATAACTTTATCTTTTAGCTGATGTTAGGACAAAAACGAAGTGACTAACACTAGCATGAGTCAAGACAAAATGTGAAAATACTTTTCCTCAGCTTCCTAAAGTTCACTTTAGATCTGCACAGTGTGATTGGGTTCAGTGACTGGCAGGTTAAGCCAGGACCGTTCGGCCATGATACCCGTTAGTTTTCCTTTAGTTTTGGGATTTTGGCCTCTAAGTCAAATCAGCTCGTCCTGGACCATTTTAAGTCAAAAGAAGAATTTACTGAAAGAAGACTGAGCTATTTCACATATGTGAAGAGTTGAATAATCAGACCATGAACTTGGGCAAAGACGTGTGAACAAGTACAATTTGACCAGGCCATCTGTCCTGTGGATGTCCACATCCACAGCATGGACAGTTTACAAGCTGAGTCACCGGAAGTGCCCGTCTCCAGAGAGGGACTGCTGCCTCTTTCTTCTCACTTACAAAATGTGGAGGGCAGTTGTGCTTGCAGTTTGGGTTAGAGCCTCGTCAGCAAGCCAGTCATGGGTGGTCTAAGGGGTGTGAAGAGCTGAGAGTGATTCCATGTTCTTTTGAAAGAGTCATTACCATTAGGAGTCTGTTAGCTTTGAAGAAGTAAATTGGTTTTGAAGTATTCTGTTTAACTATCAAAATGCACTAGATACGTCTGTAAAAATGACTGTACATGTATGAGAGAAGATTTTGATTATATGTATTTGATTCAGTTGTGCAAATGCTGTCATTTTAGGTAACCAAACTAATAGAAGACAGTACCTTATCCAAGTCTGTGAAGAATGCTATAGATACAGACCGATTGCTGGACTGGCTAGTTGAAAACTCCGTTCTGTCAATTGCACTGGAAGGTAAGTTGCTTTTGAAAAAAAAATTACTTGACATGTAAATGGTTTTTATTTTTAAAAGGTGCAAAAATTTTGTTTCTTTTTATTAGCCTTTAAATAATCTTATGAAGTTATTATTGCTTTGAGTTAATAGAATCATTATTCACTATATTTGGTTTCTCCTCTGATGTTTCCTCCATTAGGCAACATAGACCAAGCACAATACTGTGACCGCATAAAGGGAATTATTGAACTCTTGGGCAGTAAATTGTCATTAGATGAACTCACTAAAATTTGGAAGATACAAGTAAGTTGAGCAGAATTATTTTTGCCTTTTTCTGATAAGTTTGTACCATAGGAAAAGAGGTAGGATGGTGAGGGGGCTGGGAAATGGGACCTCGTCTGATTTTAACTAGAAGACCTATACTTAATCTGGTTTGCAGTTGATTAAGATTGCATATATATATAAGGGTTAAGTTCGTGTTGGACTTAAAATTGCAACCCTCTGCCTGAGTTTCCTGAATGTTGGGATTATAGCTGTGTTTTATCATGCACAGCTTGTATTCCTTCTGAAATTTCCCGTTAATTTATTCTTTTCTACTTTGCCTTTTCCCCCCTCAAGCCTTAATCTTTTGCCCTTTTCTCACCACAAAAGCTTTCACTAGTCAGTTTCACCCACTCCTATGGCTTTAATTACATTTGTTTGTTGCTGACTATGAATCATTCCTCTAATTCGGACCGAGCAGTGCAGCATATGTATGTGGCTCGCCTAATTACTAAACCATAGTGAAATCTGGTGCTTTTCTTAACTGTGTCCACCTAATCTGTATCAGTCAAAATCTGGTCAGAAACAAACTGTGCTAGGCATTTTAGACACATGGAATTTACCCTTTGGACACATGGAATTGTTTACAAAGCAGGTATGCACATGGTACAAAGGCACACATACAGACAAAACACCCATAAAATAAAGTTGTTGTTGTTTTTTTAATTTAAAACAACAACAACAAAAAAAACCAATAACAAAAATGGTGTTGCTAAGGTGGAAGAATGGTGGGAGGAACGGATAGAAAGCGGAGCATCAAGTCCACGGAGGGTACCTGCTTTGGGAGGGGCCTACAGGTGCTGAGGCTGGGAAGGGCCACTCCCGTTAGTACTGCCGGAACCCTGCTGCCTCACCAGCCCGACACTCATTCTCTGAGCCCGAACCCAGAGTACTCCTTCCTTCCTTCCTTCCTTCCTTCCTTCCTTCCTTCCTTCCTTCCTTCCTTCCTTCCTTCCTTCCTTCCTTCCTCCCTCCCTCCCTCCCTCCCTTCCTCCCTTCCTTCTACCTTCTCCTCTCCCAGTACTCCAGTACTCTAATACTCACTGGCAGAGTATTAGAGGAGCTAGCCGACAGAGGACTGTGGGGATACAATCAGCTGATTGGCTTCCCAGCATTACCAAGCAGACTGCAGTTAGGGATGGGATTAAAGAAAAGCAGTCCTAGGTCCCTAGTTGGGTACTCTCACATAATGTTGTTTTCTGAGTGTGCATTTTGAATCCACATGAGGTTGAAGATTAGGAGTGTGTGTATGTGTGTGTGTGTTCATACATTTCTACTACATTTGATGAACAACTGTATATGCATAGTGGATATGGGGAAAGTTAACTGAATCTACAACTATTCTGCCTTTCAAGGTAAATAGTGAGGCATGACTGTCCCGTGACTGAGATTATAGAGAGTGCCAGTCATCCACAGTAGGTTCTACAGCGCTGTGCAGAGATTTACTGCCCATAAGGTCAATAAGTATTAGTTGAAGTAACAAAGAGTGTGTTATCGACATTTAAAATGGGGTTGATAATACTCTCAACCCTGATCACCATCTGTGAAAACACTGAAAATGTATTTGCCTTGTAATTTATTCAGTTCAAAATAAATCAATATAAATTTTTTGTTGAAAATATTTTATTCTCTTCCTAAAATAAATGTCAGAGATCTTGATTCTTGTGCTTTTTTACATGTGAAAGCCAGTACTGCTGGGATTTGAAATGCATTCAGCTGATAGCCATTAGTAATAGTTGCTTCACATAATCCTGCCAGGGTTGTCATGGAAGTGAATGCCAATGAGACTCAAGTCTAATTCATTTTTGTTACGCGTCGCTTGTATAGACTGTCAGGAAGAAGACTTAGGTTTGCCAAGTCCCAGGACTTAACTTGCTCCCGATGTCTCCTTTCTTCCAGTCAGGACAGTCATCTACGGTAATTGAGAACATTCACACTATTATTGCTGCAGCAGCTGTGAAGTTTAACGCAGATCAGCTTAATCACTTGTTTGTTCTCATTCAGAAGGTAAGAGTGAAACTCTAGCCCGTCCCCAGTAGCTGTGACGACATGTACTTCTCTTACCTTATTCTTAGCTCACATTTTAAGTGTTTGCTAATTTCACCAGCCTGACCGTGACCCCACCCTGTGTCCTGTCTGTTCTCTTGTGCAGAGCTGGGAGATCGAGAGTGACAGGGTAAGACAGAAGCTGTTGAGTCTGATTGGACGAATCGGCCGGGAAGCTCGATTTGAGGCCACTTCTGGAAAGGCAGGAAATCAAATGGATTTCTGTACCTACAAATGCTTACAACAGTCTTACATGCTTATGAGTGGCTCATCATAATGGTGCTATTGCAGGTGTTAGACGTTCTCTGGGAACTGGCTCACCTTCCAACCTTGCCCAGTAGCCTTATTCAGCAAGCCCTGGAGGAGCACTTGACAATCCTGAGCGATGCCTACGCAGTGAAGGAAGCAATCAAGAGGAGCTACATCATCAAGTGCATAGAAGACATTAAAAGGGTTGGTTCTGGCTTTCCTCTAATTTTGTTATCAGAGTAATAATGTTGTCTGAGTGATTAGAGCCAAGAGATTTTCCTCCTCTATTATGTAAACTAAGAGGAATGCCCTGTTTGGAAGCTGTTACTTTAGAGTCCAAATTTGGGCTGTAGGTTTTGTTTTTACCAAGTCACTTACGTTTCTCTTAAATGAATTTTCAGCCTGGAGAATGGTCAGGTTTGGAAAAAAACAAGAAAGATGGATTCAAGGTAAGTATTTGCATATGGAATCAACTAAGGTATTCTAATTTTATAATTACCTTCAATAAATTATATCATACTTCTAAAATATTTAGGGTTTATTAGACTAATAATATACAGATGTGATCTTTATGAGCTGGGCTTTATTTAGAAGTTGGTAGCTGTTTACCCTTAAAAGGAAAAAATTAGAGTTCTATTGAAAAAGTAATTTTTATAACTCTTAGGGAATTGTATAATTTTCAGCTTTATTTTCCTTTGAAGTTAGATCTAAAGTATATAGAATTTTTAAAGTACATTGAATTCTAAGTAAATTCTGTCCCCATGTTTCTCCTGTAAGGGAAAAATGAGTATTTGTGGATAGAAGAGAAAGAAGGGGAAGGTGCATGTAATGCTGGCTTTAGGTATTTGCCACACCTACACATGCATAAGCCTTTGTTCTCCTAAAGCCCTGATCCAGAATGGGCAGCACTCCAGCTAGCCCAGCCTTAAAGCCCAGGCAGTGACAGGAACGATTTTGGTTTTGGAGTTTGGTATTAATAACATAGAAATGTTTCTGGTAAAAATAGATAGAGGCTTGGTATTTCATCAGCCAAACTTTTCCCTGGTTTCCATTGGTATTTCTTCAAAGGAGCTGGGATACTGCTGGCTTTCATCTGTATATCCACAGACACATAACTCTTGCTAACAAGCTTTGGCAATTACTGAGCTTTTGTGCACTTCAGTTAATCTGGCTATAAAGTTTAGGTGGGGGTATAAGAATGTGGTGTTTCATATTTCTGATGCTGAAATTTGATCCCTGGAATTTTCTGCATGAGATCTAGCTTTAGTGATTTTAAAAAGCATTCACAAACCAGAGCCAGTAACGCTGGGGTTAAAAGGAATGACGAATGTTTAATTCAACAGCCTTGCTTGCTTTCTACTCAGATGGAATTTAAATTTTCTAGTTCCCTCAGCTCAGTGACTCAGACAATTTAGCACTCTCTCTTCTTATGATTGACTAATTTTCATTGCGTTATTGAAATGTCTATCCTTCAATAGTATCAGTAAACGAAAAGGGGCCTCTAGGAAATGCTCTTTTCTTCTAGGCAACAGACATTTTTTCTTTATAGACATGCAGGTCGAAGCTGAAGGGACGTCTCCTCTCCTCCAGGGAAATAGCTCCTAAATCCAGAGCCTCCTTTGGCCCTTTGTTCTCCTTGTCCCAGCTGAGCACCACAGCTCTCCTAGGCAGCTGCGTCCCTGCGTCGTCTTCACTGCTTCTCTTGCAGTCACTCGTTCATGTCTGTTGCTACATGTAGAGCAAGACAGTAGCGGAAGGAAGGGGACTCTCTGGCCATTTGGTGAGAGTCGAAAGGAATCCTCTTCCTTTTTACTCCCCTCCCCCCACTGCTCCCAGAGAGGAAATCCTAGTGCACCATTGATTGCTCTTTCCAAGGAACAATAGCTTACATTTTATGTAGCACTTGCCAGTTGGCTAAGTGCTTCCCAGATACTCGAAGTACACGTTACTGAAGGGGGGCAGTGGGAAGATCAAAGCCCCCTGGCAGGGGAGTGAAGTATTTACTGCACTAAAGGTGTTTTTCTATGCTATGCCCTTTCCTGCCAGGCAGCAAGGTGGGCTGACTGGGGATTATGTCTCCCTGCCAGGCTACACAGAAACTAAGCGAAGGGTAAGACAAGCTCACCCACCTCTTACTCCCCTCCTGCCCTCAGCTACCTCTTCTCCCCAACTGGTTCCCCTTCCTGCTGCTTTTCACACTCCAAGTTCCCAAGTTCCACTGTCCTGTTGAGAAACTCTGACCTTTATCTCTGTAGACTCTGCCAAGGCACCCTCAGCTCCCTCGGTCCTCTTTCTTTGCTTTGCTTCCACTGTCCATCCCCAACCCTTTGTCTCTTATTTCACTTCTTATTTCCTTCAGGTAAAAGATTTCAATGTTCTCATCCAAAAAAATCATTACTAGACCCAAGTCAAATTATGTTTACTCCAGTGGTGTGTTTGCACATTCCATAGGCCATCTTTAGGGCTCCTAAGAGCACCTGGCAGACTTCTGGTAAATATAGCAGCTCTCTTGCTCTTGCTCCCCTGCACCCTATGAAGAAGACACACAAAGCTGCATGTAACCAGGTTGAATAGCCCTGGTCTGAAGTACTTGGGACCTGTGGTATTTCCAATTTCAGAGCCTTTTGCATTTTAGAATATTTACATAAACTTTACTGGTTGAACATCCCAAATTCAAAATAAGAAAAGTTTTGAACATAATATTTAGCACTCAAAAAAGCTGTCAGTTGTAGAATTCAGATTTTTGGATTCAGGACAGTCGACCATTTGTTAGGGAGTTGCCTCTGTTTGCCAAATTATAGTAAAGCTAGCAAGATGTCCTCAGTGCAGGTAGTCTCACTGTGGTGCAGTTAGTGGAGGAGAAAAGTCTTCTTAAAGACTTTCTTCCTGTACCAAAAAATTTTACTTTGTTTCTAGATAAAAACTAAAACTGAAAAAGCAAAACAGATGAGAAGTGGGGGATGTTCAGCCCTAAGAAGAGAGAACTCAAAGAATATGAATGGTTTCTTTAGGCCCTTAGAGGGTAAAAATGAAGAAACGGGGTGCACTTAGTTTTGTGTCTTCCGAGATACTGCATAGAGACGTGTTTAGTTGTGAGAAGTCAATGGCCATTCCAGTGAAAAGTGTCTGAACAGAAGGAGAGTAGAAACAGAGGTTTGCAGCTTCCTCTGATGGCACTGTAATTGGACAACACACTGAATTTAGTGAAATTATCAGATATATTCAGTTTATTTTCAACCATTCTTAGCAATCAGAAGAGAGTACTTTTCAATTTTTCTTATAACTTCACAATATAATAGCTTAGATAACAGTGATTAACATTTTTTCCTGATTGCTAACCTTCAGAGAGACTATCTCAGCAATGAGTCTTAAAGTCCAATTTATATGATTTTTCTTTTAATTTTATTGTATAAAGAGTAACATTCAAAGTATAATTTCCTTTAACTATAATATACCTAATTAGTCATACTGTATTTTTTAATGTTTCTACTTATTGCTAAAGAATTTGTGTATGTATTTTATTATTATTATTATTATTATTATTATTATTGTAATCCTTTTGGAAGGTGTTGGTTCAAAATTAAGCCTCACAGTTTTGATCATTGTCTTTTACAGTCTTGTTTGAGCAAAAAGCTTTCTGGCTAACTTCAGAAGTAGTTGGCCTTTAATACATACCTTATTTCTATGATTTGAAGATGCCAGAGATTGCAGCCTGCATTACAGAGTTACGAAATTTGTAGAGAACAAAAACAGAAACTAACTTTTGGGTTGAAATTTAGCCCAGTTAGTACAGTGCTTATTTAGCATGAACAAGATTCAGGGTCACATCCCTAGCACCCCACAAGCCAAGTGTGATGACACATGCTTGTAATCCTAGCACTCAAGAAACAGAGGCAGGAGAAGCAGACTTTCAAGATCATCCTCAACTACACAGTTAGTTTGAGGCCAACATGTACCTGAGACTCTGCCCCAACCCCAAGAAAAGTACGTTTACCAGCCATTGTTTAGACTCATAGCCAGAGGTTAAATGTAAGCTTGTTTTTGTTTTATCAAATATGTGTAATTTCAGCTTAAAACACTAACAATCATTATCTGTAGTAGTGTTCTGAACCACTCTGAAATCTTTGGTACTGGGGATACTAGGAATTAAGTCTGGGCCTTGACATGTAGGCAAGTATGTTACATCCCAGTAGTCCTTGGGGCATACTGAAGCATGTGGAGTTTTATGTGCTTATCTTTCAGAAAGTGACTTTTTCTTTGAGTGATGAATAGTACAGGTTGAGCAGCTTCTTGTGAATTAGGGTGCAGCTTAAGGCAGAGAGGCACCAGTGCTGAGTGGTAGAGCCCTGAGCAAGGGAAGGATCTGCATGCCAGCTTTTGGCTTTGAAAATGACTTGAATTGTTTTGAGTTACAACAGGCGAGTTAATGTTATGTCATGATATAATGTTTCTGATAACATTTAAACAATAAACTAGTAACCCAAATTGAGGTTTAAAGACCATCCTTGTTTGGTACTGCCTATAATAAATAACAGCTCAATTCAGATAACAGGTAGATGAACAAATGCCTTTTGTGTGTAGGTAAGTTTGTATATAAAAGCTATGGACAGTTACAAAAGCTTACACTTAATGCTTAGTGGCTGGTAAGTGTCTTTTGAGTAGTATCAATTTGAGAAATGTTAAAGGTCATAGAAATGTGTCTTAGAATCCAGGAAATATGGTATTTGGTCATTATTGGCTTATTTGGCTCATATATTTGAGATGAGAAAAAAGTATGATTTGGCAGTAGCTTGCACACAGTAACCTATAGTAGCAGATGTGTTTCTTTAAAAGACGACAATACTTTCTTTCAACTAGGATCTTCATTTTGCAGAAAGATTTGATAAAATTACTTCAAAAATTTCAGCCTCTTAAATGAATACTAAGGCTTTAGTTGATGTTTTGGCTAATAATCAATCAGTTGATTAATAGCATTTAGTCTGATACTTAGCAATTTTATTACGAGATTTTATAGTTCAAAAGATGCTATTGATTAAAAGCCAATTCTCTTTAAGGAGAATTGCATGCACATCAGGTGTCTTTGATCTGCAGCACAAAGATCTGATTGTCATACCAATTTCAGAAATAATATATTTCAAGTGCTTTGAAATTAAAGTGTAGTCTCAGTAAAATGTTTATAATATTTAATAAAAATAGTAATGGGGTTGGATGGAGGAAGGGAAGTACTAAGAATTGAACCCAGGACATCACACATGCTAAACACGGGCTCTACCTCTGAGCTTCTCCCAAGCCCCTTAATTAAAGCAGAATTACCTTTTATGAAGTTATCTTAAGTAGAAATGTAAACAGATTTTATTTTCTTTACTACTTAACTCATTGTCAGTATCTTGATCAGATCATTGATACCTTAATCACATAATTAAAGAAAGCCATATTCTTAGTCTATTTTCCTTGCTAGTCAGTTCAATGTTAAGCCTTGCCATCAATTTACTTTACTGAGTGAACATGTCTTGGCAGCTCTGTGCTACTTAATCTGTCCTCTGAAGTTGCTAATTCCTTGTCGTCTGTATTTTGCTGATGTCCCCCTGTACATTTGCTGTCATTTCACATCACTCCTGTTTGCAGTTCTTGGCCTTAGGAAATTGCATGCAGAATAAGAAGTCGAAGACTGAATTATGATTGCATGGAGATAAGCTAAAAATAAGTAACATGAAAAGGAAACAGTAGAATGTGCAACAAGGAAATAATTGACTTGGAAATTTTTTATAGCTAATAGCTGACTGCCATTTACTTCTAAACTTAATTAATATAACTTCTTTTTAACCCTAGTCATCTCAACTTAATAATCCGCAGTTTGTGTGGGTGGTCCCCGCTTTGCGTCAGCTTCATGAAATCACTCGTTCATTTATAAAACAGACCTATCAAAAGCAAGACAAGGTAGGAGCATACTTCTTACTTTTTGTTCTCATGTGCATAGCCTTTTGTAATAATTGTAATAAGCAAACCTGGCTAAGGTTGTTGCATTGATAGCATCTCACTGACATGTTTATTAATGTCACTGATTCTTATCATTTGGAACTCTTAAATTTCAATCACTCTACTTTCATGTCTGAGGAGGTTTTTCTTTTGTCCTAACCCTTCTCTTTGATTGCTTAATTTATTAAGATAACTAGACAAGCTTTTAAAAAAAAAAATAATGATAACTCCAAAATTTGAAAAGATTCCTGACTATTTTACAAAAAGATTACTTTGTCTAAGAGCTGGGTAGACCTTTCTCAATGTCAAAGATTTGGGGGTTAGATCCAGGAAAGCACATAAGTGCAGTAGCTCTCTTCAAGGATTCATTTCTCTTTTAGATGCAAAATAATAGCAATGTCTTAGTTCCCTGGGAGGAGGGTACTTATTAATAAGGGTAATAAGAAATCAATACCCAATAAAATACCAGATTGATTTGTCAACTGTCATGGGACGTCTCCTGTTTGCTTTCATCTGGGACTACATTGTAAAATAAAAGCTATATTAAGCTGACCAAATGACTACAGTCTCACGCCACTTTCATTGTTGTTGTTTTTGTTAAGAGCATTATTCAAGACCTGAAGAAAAATTTTGAAATAGTCAAGTTGGTTACAGGAAGTTTACTAGCTTGTCATCGACTTGCAGCAGCTGTGGCTGGGCCCGGAGGCCTGACTGGCTTGACACTGGTGGACGGCCGCTACACTTACCGGGAGGTACAGGCACTGGGCTTTTGTTGGGTGGTTTTCAGCATTCGTTGAACTTTTTCTATTTGAACTATAAAAGAAATATTTGTTGGGTACAGCTGTAAAAGGGTACTGTGAGCTATCTTTGTAATGAGGGAACAGTTTTGAATCTTAGCTATAATTTCATTAGATTTACTAATTTGTGTTTTTGCTTACATGGTATATGCGTAACACAAGTGGACCTGGCACTCATAGAGGTCAGAAGAGAGCATCAGATTCCCTGGAACTGAAGTAACAGGTGGTTGTGAGCCACCATGTGGGTGCTGGGAATTGAACCCCAGTCCTCTGCAAGAGCAGTCAGTGCTCTTAACCACTGTGCCATCCCTCCAGTACTTAGCTGTAATTTCAAATTGAAGTTTAAAAAAATAGTATTTGTTAGCTCTGTAGACCATGCATTTTGATTTTAGATCAATTGATTGCTAGTGATGTTTTTAAAATCTTAGCTGGGTATAGTGCCTCACATACCAGTAATCCAGGATTCCAGAGACCAGTGGTTCTCAAGCTTTCTAATGCTAGGATCCCCATGTTGTGGTGACACCCCCAACCATAAAATTATGTTGTTGTTACTTCATAACTGTCATTTTGCTGCTCTTACGAATGATAGTGTAAATGTCTGATGTGCAGCAGGGTATTGATATGTGACCCCTGTGAAAGGGTCATTCACCCCTCCCCCAAGCGGTTGTGGTTCACAGGTTGAGAACTGTTGCTGTAGGCTGAGACAGGAGGATTTTTGTGAACTCATGCCATGGGCTGTAGATTGACTTGTAAGCTATGCTGGAATTCAGAGTAAGACCTTGTCTCATACAAAACAAAACAACAACAAAAAACTACCAGAAACAACACCTTACTTCACCACTTGTAGGCATGGTGGTTCCTTTTGAGATTACTGACATTGAATTTGATTTACATCTAAAATCAACTGACTTTGTAATTAATTTGAGGTTGCTTCTGCTGCATTGTACTATTGGCTGATAAGTCCACTTCTCACCTTTACTTTATCATAAATTCCATGAGAAGTGTTGGGTGTCAACCTGTTTTGTGAAGTTTTATCATAATGTTTCCAATGGGATAACTAGTTGCATTATTGCTTTTTTTTTTTTTTTTTTTTTTTTTTCAGTATTTAGAGGCACATCTGAAATTTCTAGCATTTTTCTTACAAGAAGCTACACTGTATCTGGGGTGGAACCGAGCCAAAGAAATCTGGGAGTGCCTTGTGACTGGCCAGGATGTCTGCGAGTTAGATCGAGAGGTTTGTAAGATGGCGCCGAAATGGGGCACTTTGCTGTGTGTCTCTTCTTGTTCATGTTTTGGATCCTCTGTTTGTGTTGTTTCCATGAACATTAATGGCAGAGTAGGAACTGTAAGTACTAGGAATAAAATGTCCTAAAAGAAATCCATGATACATGTAAATGTGTGAGCTCTTTGATCATTTTGATTCAGTTCTGGGTCAAATACTAAAATCTACAAAATGAATATTGATGAAGAATTATGGGTATAATTTAGTTTTCTCCTTTCCTGTGAAACTGATTTTATTTATTTATAATAAATCAACTAATTTTAAATCACTACTAAACAACTTAGTTCCTCAAAATGATGTTGTATCCCCAGAAATGGTAACATGAGTCAAGAGCAGCTAAAACAAATGGAAACACTTATTTTGACGTTTGCAGTTGCTAACTGAGTCTGGGTTTCCTCTCAATTTACAGAGTAATAGTAACAACTTCATAGGCCTGCTGAAAGGACTGAGTTTGTGACGGTGCTTAGCACTGTGCCTGGCACACGCGAGGCTTGATTGCGTGCTGCTGGGAAAAGTGGGAGTGCACAGTCACCAGGAGAAAGACCTGCTAACCGTTCCCACTCGTCCAGAGTTCTAGACATTTCCGCTTTTGAGTGTAGTTTAGCAGTTACAGCAGTGTTAGGAGGGTTGAAAGTGGTCTCTTTCTTGTCTAGATGTGCTGTGGCTTGTGTGCAGTGGATTGTGGTTGGTCTTAGGGCCGTTCTGTCTTGATCCACAGATGTGCTTTGAGTGGTTTACAAAAGGGCAGCATGATCTCGAGAGTGACGTTCAGCAGCAGCTCTTCAAGGAGAAAATTCTGAAACTGGAGTCCTATGAGATCACCATGAATGGTAGGGAAAGCTTACAACTGTTTGTTTTAGATGTTTTTACAGTAAGAGATTTCATTCGTAAATTTAATCCTACTTCTCAGAGCCAGCTGAACAGTTTGGAATATCCTTGTGGAATTCTTTACATGCATATCCACATGGTACCTTACTGAGATTTAAAATTATATAGCCTAATAGATTAAATTGTCAAATTATTTTTCTGGTTTTCCTTAATAAATAAGATTCATTAGGTAAAAATATATCAAAGTATATAATGCTTTCTTTCAGTTGTTTCTTTTGGCTAAGTTATTTTATTGACATTCAGTTCATGTGCCATAAAACTCACTTTGTAAATATACAGTCAGCGACTTTTAGTCTGCACTCACTCATGCAGCCTTGACTTCTTTCTAACATATAAACATTGTCACCCCAAAGAAGAGCTCTGTGCTCATTGGCAGCCATTCTCGGGCCTTCCCTTGCCCAGCCTCTAACCTTTTTCCCCTTTGGATTGGCCAATCTGAACATTTGCTATATGTGAAATCATACATACGATTTGGGATCTTTTGTTTTCTGTTTTCTCTGATTGTGATTGAATTTAATGTTTTCAAGGCACACCCAGTTGTTGTATGTATTACTTTAGGAGGATAATATTTCACTGTAGATGTCCCATATTTTGTTAATGCATCATTCAATGAACATTTGTGGCTACCACTTTGAGCTATAAACATTCATGTAGCAGTTTTTGTGTTTTCATTCCTTTCTGTTATGAATTTTAGAGTCACGTTACCATGAAATCTAACCTTGAGCATCTGTCAAACTGTTTTTGCAAAGGGCTACACTATTTTATAATCCCACCAGCAATGTTCCAATTTTCTGCATTGCCAATACTTATTATCTGCCTTTTCAAAGATGTCCTGGTGGGTAGTGAGTTATGTCCTGTAGTTAAGACTTGCTGTTTCTTGATAACTAATGATACTGAGCTATCTATTTAGATTGGTTTTTGTCTATGTGTATAGGTTCTTTAGAGAAATGCCTAGTTGCACTTCCGACTAGATTTTGATTAGGTTGTTGTGATGTAAGGGCTCTTTATATACTCTAGGTATTAGCTCTTTAGCAGATACGTAGTTTATCAAAATCCCTATTTTGTATGCTGTGTTCTTTTCTTAATAGTGTCCTTTGAAGCACGAAAGTTTTAAATTTTGAAAAAGTCTACTTTACATGTATTTTCTTTTGCTGCTATGGTTTGTTGTTACTGCTTTAGTTTGTTTGGTTTTTTAGGACATGGTTTCATTATGTAGCCCTGGCTGGTCTGGAACTTGCTATGTAAGCCACTCCGGCCTTGAAACACCCTCCCCCCACCCCCCAGCCTGCCTCTGCCTCCTGAGTGCCAGGATTAAAGGTGTATGGTTTGCCTGTGCTTTCTTTTCCCAACAAATGAGCATTTATTTCTTTGTTAAATAGAATTATACTAATTATAGGTTTAGATAAAATTTTTCTACCTTTAGTTTCATATCATTGTTAATTTTAATTAAAAGTATTTAATAGTTGCTATATAGTACAAATAATAACATATTGTGATTGATGTACAGCAGTATGAAACCCCGAAGGATTTTACTTTTTTTTTAACATACGAACCACAGTTTCCCTTTCCTCCTCTCCTCCCGTTCCCTTCCCCCTCTTCCTTCCTTACCACCCCCCAATCCACTCCTCAGAAAAGGTAAGGCCTCCCATGGGAATCAACAAAGCATGGCATATCAAGTTGAGGCAGGGCCAAGCTCTTCTCCCCTGCATCAAGGCTGAGCAAGGCATCCACCTAGGGAGTAGGTTCCAAAAAGCTACCTTATGGACAGGGCCCCACAAACACACCAAACTACAGAACTGTCAACCACATGCTGAGGGCCTAGGTTGGTCCCTGCAGGCTCCCTAGCTGTTCATCTAGAGTCAGTGAGCTCCTACAAGCTCAGGTCAGCTGTTTCTGTGGGTTTCCTCATCATGATCTTGACCCTCCTCCCTCTCCTCAGCTGGACTCCCAGAGCTCGGCCCAGTGCTTGGCTTTGGATCTCTGCATCTGCTCCCATCAGTTACTGGATGAAGAGTCTATGATGGCAATTAGGGTAGTCACTAATCTGATTACAGGAGAAGGCTAGTTCAGGTACCCTCTTTATTATTGCTAGGAATCTTAGCTGGGGTCATCCTTGTGGATTCCTGGGAGTTTCCCTGGCATAAACAGATTGAGAAGGAAATCAGAGAAACAACATCCTTTGCAATAACCACAAATAATATAAAATATCTTGGGGTAACTAACCAAACAAGTGAAAGACCTGTATGACAAGAACTTTAAGTCTTTGAAGAAAGAAATTAAAATATCAGAAAATGGAAAGATCTTCCATACTCTTGGATAGGTAGGATTAACATAGTAAAAATGGCAATCTTACCAAAAGCAATCTACAGATTCAGTGCAATCCCCATCAAAATCCCAACACAATTCTTCACAGACCTTGAAAGAACAATACTCAACTTCATATGGAAAAACAAAAAACCCAAGATAGCTAAAATAATCCTGTACAATAAAGGACCTTCCAGAGGCATCACCGTCCCTGACTTCAAGCTCTACTATAGGGCTATAATAATAAAAACAGCTTGGTATTGGCATAAAAACAGACACGTGGATCAATGGAATTGAGTCGAAGACCCTGACATAAATCTACCTACCTGTGAACACCTGGTTTTGACAAAGTAACCAAAATTGTACAATGGAAAAAAGAAAGCATCCTCAACAAATGGTGCTGCCGTAACTGGATGTCACCATGTAGAAGATTGCAAACAGATCCACACCTATTGCTTTGCACAAAACTCAAGTCCAAGTGGATCAAAGACCTCAACATAAATCCAGTCACACTGAACCTGATAGAAGAGAAAGTGGAAGGTAGTCTTGAACACATTGGCACAGAAGACAACTTCCTAAATATAACACCTGTAGCACAGACACTAAGACCAACAATTAGTAAATGGGACCTCCTGAAACTGAAAAGCTTCTCTAAGGCAAAGGACACGGTCAATAAGACAAAATGGCAGCCTACAGAATGGGAAAAGATCTTCACCAATCCCACATCTGATAGAGAGCTGATCTCCAAATTATATAAAGAACTTAAGAAACTACACATCAGAACACCAAATAATCCAATTTAAAAATGAGGTCCCAAACTAAACGGAGAATTCTCAACAGAATAATCTCAAATGGCCGAAAGGCATTTAAGGAATTGCTCAACATCCTTAGTCATCAGGGAAATGCTTGTGCTTTTTTAAAGGTGTCTTTGATTTTTTGAGATGAGATCTGACTATGCTGCCCAGGCTGGCCTGGAGCTTCTGGGCTCAAGCAGTCTTCACACCTTTGCACCTTGGGTAGATGTGACTGCAGGCCTGCACCACACACAGCCTGCACCACACACAGCCTGCACCGCACAGCCTACACCAACACACACTGCCTGCACCACCACACACAGCCTGCACCACCACACACAGCCTGCACCACCACACAGCCTGCACCACCCAGAGCCTGCACCACACACAGCCTGCACCACACACAGCCTGCACCACACACAGCCTGCACCACCACACATAGCCTGCACCACACACAGCCTGCACCACCCAGAGCCTGCACCACCCAGAACCTGCACCACACACAGCCTGCACCACACACAGCCTGCACCACCGCACACAGCCTGCACCACACACAGCCTGCACAACCACACACAGCCTGCACCACACACAGCCTGCACCACCACACAGCCTGCACCCCACACAGCCTGCACCACCGCACACAGCCTGCACCACCGCACACAGCCTGCACCACCGCACACAGCCTGCACCACCACACACAGCCTGCACCACCACACACAGCCTGCACCACACAGCCTGCACCCCACACAGCCTGCACCCCACACAGCCTGCACCGCACAGCCTGCACCACCACACACAGCCTGCACCACCACACAGCCTGCACCACCACACAGCCTGCACCACACAGCCTGCACCACCACACAGCCTGCACCACCACACACAGCCTGAGCCACACACAGCCACTGCACTTTTGATACCTATTCAAGAAACCATTGCTAGGAGCGTTGTAGCCTTCACTTCTGATTCACTTTACTCTTCATCGATTGTCGTATCTGAGTGCATGGGTTTGACTGGCATTCTATAATTTTAGGTTTCAACTTATTTAAGACTTTTTTTGAAAATGTGAATCTCTGTGATCATCGATTGAAAAGACAAGGAGCTCAATTGGTATGTACCATACTTTGAATTATTTGATATAGCTTGATATTTAGGAAAAGAAAAAAGCCCATTTTCTAATGGATAGAAAACATAAACCTGTTTGTTTAAATAAGGAGGTCTTTTCCCCTCTGGACTCAGGCATTAGTGGCAAAGGCTCCCTTTGAAGGCACTGGTAGATGCATGCCTAATACTGTCTCCCTTCAGCAGCTGCCTAGGAAGTCTGCTACTCTCCATCTCTCTCATCTAGGAGCAGCCCTGAACCTGTGGTTATCAGGTGGATTTCTAGGAGCATTGATCCAGTAGGCTTCCACATAGGAATTCACGTGTACTTGAGAATGACAAAGATGTTCGTCCTAGGATGTCAGTGGCAAGGATTGCTGGGGGAAATGTGGGAACAGACTTACTAAGTAGGACAGTGGGGACCCATAGAATGCTTATATTCACATTTTCTGTCCTTAAGACAGAAAAGCACTAGTCTTTTCTAAGTCCCTGTTGCTTAGATCCTGCTACCTAAGGTGGTCAGAATATTTACAAGATACTGTAAGTGTGGTATCCTGCTATTTCTAACCCAGCTTTGGAAACAGCTGGATCAGGTTCCCAGAATTAATAGCCACTTCAGTCTTGACTCGTTTCTTTTGAAGAGAAGTCCATAAAAATGCTATTTGTCTCACTTTTCAGTTTCTGACTGACTAGCTTCTCTGGGTAGATGTCTGCCTTGTGTCGGGAACATCTGGAGAAACATCTCTGCACCTATTCTGATTGCCAGGGAGGGTGCCTGTTGTTGCTGTGGTTGGTTGGTTTTCGTGTGAGTGTTCCACATCAGTACAGTAGTGGTTTTTGATAAAGCATCTTCATTTTGTTAGACAGAGGTTCAGACTCAATGATGTACAGAAAATAATTACCTGTGATATTGTAATAATAGTGTGCTGTTTAATTTATATATATTTTAATTTTACACAGTATGTAGAAAAGCTGGAATTGATAGGAATGGATTTCATTTGGAAAATAGCCATGGAATCACCTGATGAAGAAATTGCTAATGAAGCTATTCAATTAATCATAAACTACAGTTACATTAATCTAAATCCTAGGTTAAAGAAGGTGAGTATCCAAGGGGAAATGTTACTCAGACACAAAAATTAAAAAATTATAAGTTGGGCAGTGGTGTTGAACGCCTTTAATCCCAGCACTCAGGAGGCAGAGGTGGGCGGATCTCTGTGAGTTTGAGGCCAGCCTGGTCTACAGAGCAAGATCCAGGACAGGCTCCAAAGCTACACAGAGAAACCCTGCCTTGGGGACAGGGTGTGTGTGTGTGTGTGTGTGTGTGTGTGTGTGTGTGTGTGTGTGTGTGTGTTTGTTATTGGTAAGTTGTGGTCCTTGTTGTATCACAATTTGACTTACTTTGGTATTTTGTCTTGACTAATGTTTGCAATTAAATGCCAAAGTCTAATTTTAATTTCCATACCTCTTACTTTCAGGACTCAGTGTCTTTACATAAGAAATTTATTGCTGATTGTTATACGAGACTAGAAGTGAGTAACTTGTTTTTAAATTCTTGCCTTTTAAATGAGTTCTTCTCCCCTTTATAAGTTTGTATTTGGGGATAATGTATCATGCTGGTATTTGTGGCTAGGTACTCTTGGAAAATTGATGAAAAGTACCATGTCATGGTATGGGAATAGGAATTTGCATGGATGTTGGTCCGGGGTTAAGTGCTACTGCAAAGCATGAGGACCTATATCCAGATCTAGTTGCTAGCATTGCTACTGGGGTCTGTAACTCCAGTACTGGAGGCGAATCCAGGGGCTCACTTGGCCAGCAAGTCAGCTCAGACTACTGAGCTTCAGGTTCAGTAAGGAGACCCTGTATCATAAGACAAGGTGGAGAGCAATAGAGGAGGATACCTAATACTAACCTCTGGCCTCCACACACATGTGCTCACACACATACTCATGAACATGAGCGCCTGTGCATGCATGTTCACACACCCACCAAATGCACTCAGTAGAAAATCTTACCCTCTATCTCATTCCTTCCCTCTCTTACCTATCTTTCTACCTATCTCCCACTTGTGGGACATAAGGAATCATCTACTGTTTGTATATTCCACTTTGGTAGTGGAGTATCTGTGTTTCACATAATTTATACAATAAATGCAATTTAAAACAACAGTAGGAGACTTGAAAGGAAGCAAATGATGTTGAATCTCTTTGTACATTAGAAGCCTATGGTTTAATATCTCATATTTATTTTGATCGTCTTAGTTCTATCTATCATATGATGGTTAAAGCACTGAAGATTAATGTTCAGTTGAAATCTGCTTAAGTTTTATAGGAGTATTCCAAAATTATGAAATGCCACTGTACCCAGATGTTACTAATAAGCTAATCTTCCTTGTACTTTATGCAATATTCCCCAAATTGTGACTTCCATACAAATATGTCTTCATTAAAAAACACTGAAATATTCAAGTTCCTTTATATATGAAGTACAGTAAGGTATTAACATATCTCAACTGTTCCTTTTAATACTCTTGATTGGTATGTGGTGTGTGTGTGGTGTGTGTGTGGTAGCACTAGAGGGATATCGCATGCTGTGCTGCCTATGTGGAGGTCAGAAGACGCAGTTTTCTGGAATGAGTTCTCCTCTCTTTACATGGGTTCCAGGGATTCACCTCAGCTCATCAGGCTTTCTTGGCAAGGGTTTTACCTGCTGAGCCATCTCACAGCCCTCAGCTAGCTCTTAATTTGCCTCCTAGGGATTATTTGGTGGAGACTTTGATTGTCACAACTGGAAGGAGTCTTGTTGGCACCTAGTGGTTAGAGGCCAGGGATCCTGCTAAGCACCTTGCAATGTCCAGGCAGCTTCTGCAATGAGAAGTTAGCCCCAGTGCTGGAGGCCAGGTTGAGAAACCGGATCTGGAATGATGAATGATTATTTGTACCTTACAGGCAGCCAGTTCAGCACTCGGTGGCCCCACTCTAACACATGCTGTGACCCGAGCAACAAAAATGCTCACTGCAACAGCAATGCCAACTGTAGCAACATCAGTTCAGTCTCCATACAGGTAAGTGGCTTCACAACTCAACACGAACACACAACACAAACGTATGCTTTAAAAATGCTGATGCTGTGCCAAACCCAACATCTTTCACTGGTGTCCTCATTTCATGTCTTAGCTTCTGCAAACTGTTGTATCTTGGAGAACTGTGTGTCCTAATGTCCACCTTTGTCAGTGCTGTGAAGGTCAGTAGGTCCTCAGCCGAGTCACTCTGCTATTGTTTATTCCACCCATCTGCCCTGTGGACACATTCTTTTGTTTTTACTTTATTTTCTACTACTTTGACTGTGTATAACTGAGTAGCCTACACTTAAGGATTTCATAAAGATATGTTCATTGGGCAAAGATTTTTTTTCATGTTTGAAATATTTACGCAGGTAAAGGTTTTCTCCTTGAGTAGTCCCAAGGCGTGGAGGAAAGAAAAGGAAATGAAAAATGCTGATTAAAATGCTGCTCTATAATACAATCACAGCCCACTAAAATATTCACCTAAAATTACTTTTTAAAAAAAGTGAGAGCTTTTTTTTTTTTTTTTTTTTTTTTTTTTTTTTTTTTTAAAAAGGGGTTTTCGGGCGACTTTTGCGCCTTTCCTGGAGCTCACTTGGTAGCCCAGGCTGGCCTCGAACTCACAGAGATCCGCCTGGCTCTGCCTCCCGAGTGCTGGGATTAAAGGCGTGCGCCACCACCGCCCGGCAAGAGAGCTTTATCATCAAATAATATTTGTGTGACAACTTTGAATTGACCTTCACATTGCTGCTTCAAGTTTTAAAGTGTTAGTAGACTCTGAGTATAGTGTTTGCTGAAGTTCTTTAAAACAGTGAAGAGAAACACTGTTTACTCACCTGAAATTGGGGTGTCACGAGCACTTCATTACTCATAAGCAGCCTCACATCATTGGTGCTGCACAGAGAAGAGCTTGCTCTGAGTATCACTCTGCTGCCCTCTGCAGGTAGCTCTGTGTACAGTCCTTTTCTGCTGGGGCCGTTGTATGTGTTTTCACTTGTTGAGATAATACTTTTTTCCCCTCTCCAAACCTTCCTTAAGAAAAGTAATCAAGATAGTGTCTTTTCCCAAATTCTTTAATATCTGATTTTATAAAAATGATCTGAGCATTAGATGTTATATTTTATTAATACAAAGAAATGGAACAAAACTCAGCCCCTCCCACCTCATTTTTAGATGGTAGACATGATTATAAAGTTCATGATAAGAATAAGTGCTTTTCCCATCTCGTGTGTGTGTGTGTGTGTGTGTGTGTGTGTGTGTGTGTGTGTGTGTGTGTGTGTGTGTTTCAAATAGAATTTATGTTAAGAATTCTTATTATAATGCTTTTAAATTTAGTTCAGTTCTGTTGCTCGTTTCCTTAACAATTCTGTCAGAGAAATCATTTATGACCTATTGGATTGAGTTTTCTGAACTGCTCCTTTAAATGAATGTATTTTTAACCCCTCTTTACCAAGTGCTTTTTATTCTGAATCTTTTCATATATAGCTAGCTAAAGAGACCACATAATTTTTTAAATGTTCTTATTGAAGTAGTGTTAATAAACTGTATTTCATAGTTGAATTTCAGTAGTTTTAAAAGAATTTTTTGGGATCTGTAATTGTTGTAATCTAAAGAGTTTGGGTTTTTTCTATCATATTCTCACCATCACAATGCTATCTGTAATTGATTTAGTTATTGAGATGGAACCAGAACAGAGTGCTGGGTTCTTATTTATTAAGGTCTTGGGTACTTTTCATTGACTTTGAATTCTAGTTCTTGCCCATAGATTGGAAGGATAGAGTGTGATTGAGTATATTTGTAGAACTGTTAAAGTGTGCTTAAACGACTGTTAACAGTTGGACATTCCCATACTGCTAATCAGCATGCCAGTCTAACCGTCAGGAAGTGGTAGTACCTCTTCTCAGCTTTCAAATAGACCTCTTAACACTTTCTGGGGTGACAGCTGTGTGAAGCAAGGGCACTTGGAGGTTCTATTCCTTAGCATATGAAACTCTTTGAAAATAAGCTATTGAATATTGCAGTCTTATTATCTCAGATGACAAGTCAGGTTTCAAAAGTCATTCATAATCGTCTGATTTCATTTTCAATTAACAACTTGTATAAATGCGATACGTGTTTGCATTCTTGGTGAGTTGGTGAACATATAGGCCTGGAAACCTAGGTCCTATTTTAATGGAATGACTGTTTGAAAAGTAAAGGAAACATGGGAAGGGGCAGGCTTCTCTTCCCATATTTCATCTGAGCATGGCAGCTCTGAGTGGATTTAACTAGGACTCACTAGGTAACAGGGAAGTCTAATCTTTATATGTTCAGTTCTGACCAGTGAGTGCTGACTGTGATTGTGCTCTTGGTGAAACAGAGTAGGATTGAGCTTGAGTCAGTGATTCATTTCAAATATGTTTAAAGACTTTCTTGTTTTGTTTGTTTGTTTGTTTTTAACTCATAGATCAACAAAACTTGTGATAATCGAGAGATTGCTTCTTCTGGCCGAACGCTATGTGATCACAATAGAGGTATGCTCTCTTCTCTTTCGAGCAGCTTTATTCGTGTTGCTAGACGGGGCAGGTGAGGCATGTGTTTGACATGTTCTGTTGTGCCACAGTGCATCTGACTGGGTTGGCTTATCTCTTTCAAGGATTTTTACTCTGTTCCACGAACTATTCTACCTCACGGTGCCTCATTTCATGGACATCTTTTAACTCTTAATGTTACCTATGAGTCTACCAAAGATACCTTCACTGTAGAGGTAGGTTTATACTAAGTTCAATAGCTTTTTCATGTCTTATTTTCATAAGAATGATGTTGATGGAGATGAATGATTGTTCTCAAATGTATTTGATAAACAAATTGAAAGTAAAGACTGAACTCTCTGGGGAAATGGTTCAGTTAGTGCTCACCGTACCAGCTTGAGGACCTGTTGGGATCCCTAGCGCCCAGGTGAAAAGCTGGCATGATAGTATGTACCTTTAATCCTAAACCTGGGGTGGGGTCTAGAAAGATCCCTAGAGATCGCTTAGCCAATCAGTGAGCTCTAGGTTCAGTGAATGTCTCAAACAATAAGGTGGGGAGCAGTAGAAGAAGACACTGACATCAGTATCTGGTTTTCACCCATGTGAACACATATACTCCTACACCACCCACACACATAAAGTAAGCCTGAAATGAAAGGAAACCGGGGAGTATAAGCAGATATATAAGTAAATGTAAAATATAGGTCAAGTGAAGATAAGTTTTATAAAGAATAAATAATAGTAAAGGATAATAAGTTGATAAAAAATGAAGGTATTCATGAAATATCTTGGATAAAGATGGATCCCTGAGGTGGGTGATATTTGAGCAGGGATTTGAAAAACAACAGAGTAATTGCTTTTATTAGTACAGTCTTGCACACAGAGAGCAGCAGGTGTAAAGGCTCACAAGGTGGCTGTTGAGAAGGGGTGTGCTGAGAGAGGTTAAGAATAGAAGACATTTCCAGGGAATGGCTTCAGATCTTACTCCATACACAGAGGAGGACTGGAAGTATGGGCTCAAGCACCTAACACCTGCATAAAGGGAACCGCCCGAGAGCAGGGTATTTGCCAAGACTTGCTGTCTTCCTGGCTTTTAGAAAAGAGTCCAATACATAGCAGATGATCAGAACTGTTCAAAGGACTAAGTAATAAAAGGCTGGAGAGATGGCTCACCGGTTAAGAGCATTTACTGCTCTTCCAGAGAATAATGAGATGAAGTGAATAAATAAATCCTCTCACCCCGTGTTGGTTTTATTTTCTAGGCTCACAGTAATGAAACCATAGGCAGTGTCCGGTGGAAGATAGCCAAACAGCTGTGCTCTCCTGTGGACAACATACAGATATTTACGAACGATAGCCTGGTGGGTTTAAACATCAATTGTTGGCATGTTAGCCCAGTTTGAATAGTTTCCTCCTCCTTCCTCTCAGTAACTAAGAGAAACCACCTTTTGCAGCTGACAGTGAATAAAGATCAGAAGCTCCTCCACCAGCTGGGATTTGCTGATGAACAAGTTCTTACAGTGAAGACTTCTGGCAGTGGGACCCCCTCTGGGAGCTCTGCAGACTCCTCAACCAGCTCCAGCAGCAGCAGCAGCGGGGTTTTTAGTTCATCATATGCCATGGAACAGGTACAGAGAGCAACTGCAGAGTAGAAACGGATTTAACAACTACTGCCTTTCTGCCTTTGGTCCATACAGATTGGGGAGATCACATCTATTAAGTCTGGCAAGGTCTGAATAAAGAAAACTGTAATTGAGAACTTACTCAAGGCAGAGAAGATACGTAATTTACCAGTCTTCTGAGTTCTGAAGCACGGACTTGGTCATTCTGCCTGACCTCTTGCTGTCCTCTCATTCATCTTCTTGGTTGATCGGGTCATTCATTCTTCAGTACTCAGACATGTTGTGCTACCGTAGTACTTTGCAAGCAGAAGATAGATGATTGAACGGAGTGTTTGCCACACAAGCATGAGGAGCTGAGTTCAGTCGTAGCACCCGCATAAGCGTTGGGACGTGATAGCATGTTTATGGTCCTGTCACTTGGGAAACAGAGACAGACAGGTGCCTGAGTCCCACACTGCCACCCATCACACTCAGTTAGCTCCAGGCTGGTATGACATCCTATCTCAGATAACAAGGTAAATGGCTCCTGAAGTGGATGCCTGGCCTATAAGTGTATATTTACCTGCACACATGTGCACTTGCACATACCTTTGTCCAGAAAAGTTTCACTACCAAGTACTAGCTCATTTTCTCCTCCAATCAACAGAGCTCTTGAAAAGAGTGGTTTAAACTCACTTCTAACTTCCTTTCATCTTCTCTCACTGTCCTTGACTCTATTTCTGTTCATGTGTCTCTACCTCTCAAGCCTCATCTTCTTGATGCTTTAGGGGAACATTTTCTCTTTGGTCATTTTCTCATAAATTAAAAAAAAAAAAAATTCTTTCATTGGGTCTTCAGTACTTGCCCCTGCCTCTGCACTATTTTTTTTTTTTTTTTTAACAAACCTAGTTCTTAGACCTTCCTTTTCCCTGTATTCATTCTCAAATGGCATAAAGTCCAGAGAATGATCTATCTACTAACTCGGTATCCTTTCATTGACTGCTCAACACCCAGTGGTAATACACCCAAAGCCAAGCTCCTCGCTGTCCCTCTCTTGTCCGGTGCCCTCACTCCTCATTTTCTAGTCTTTCTCCATCTCAGATCATGGCATCTCTGTTCTTGTAAGTTGCTCATACCTGAGCCCTTAGACCAGTGGTTCTCAGTGCTGTGACCCTTTAATATAGTTTCTCATGTTGTGGTGACCCTCAACTACAAAATAATTTTGGTTGCTACTTCATAACTGCAATTTTGCTACTGTTTTCAAATCATAATGTAAATATCTGTGTTTGATGGTTTTAGACGACCCCTGTGAAAGGGTCATTTAACCTCCAAAGGAGTTGCAACCTACTGGTTGAGATCCGCTGTCTTAGATCCTTTCTCTCACATCCATATCCATCTGCAAGTCTTTGGCTCTACCTTTAAAATATGTTCACAATCTAGCTACTTTGCTCTTCCTCCATAGCTTCTAATACTGTTCTGGGCAGCCGTCATCCTTGACTTGAGTGTTATCATTACTGCCTTGTCAGGAGTCTCTGCATGGCACGCAGCAGCCCCAAAGTCATACTGTGTCTGTCACTCTTCAACTCACTCTACTAACTACCATCTCATTCAGAGCAAAGGTTAGAGCCTTGACTGAGCCCTTCAGATCTGCCTCTTGTCCCCCATGGAGTGCCTCTGAGGCCCTCTGCTATGATTCTCCCTCACACCTTTACAGCTGCACTGCTTCCCCGCTGCGTTTTTCTTGCATGCACCAAAAATACTGTTTCCTAACATGTTCACTGGGGTGCTTACTCTCTCTTCAGCTTTTGCTCAGATACTAACCACTCAGTGAGCCTTTCTTGACATCCTGTTTAAATTGTCAACCCTATTTCTACTTTATCTGCTTTATATTTTATGAACATACTAGACATTTTGTTATATAGTCTATCTTCTGGTAAAACGTTAAAGTCCATGAGAGTAAACTGGGTTTTTTTTGTTGTTGTGGTTTGCTGCCACACCAAAACACCTGCAACGGTACCTGGAACAGAATGGGTCAGTCAATACTTGAATGATTTCATGAAGTAACTGATCCGTTTATAATTTCTCTGTGTTACGACTGAGGCTGGCTTCAGGGACACAGAACTGAAGAAGGCTGTTCTGAACTTTAGGGTTTTTGGGGGGTTTTTTGTTTTTTTGTTTTGTTTTGTTTTTCGAGACAGGGTTTCTCTGTGTAGCTTTGCGCCTTTCCTGGGACTCACTTGGTAGCCCAGGCTGGCCTCGAACTCACAGAGATCCGCCTGGCTCTGCCTCCCAAGTGCTGGGATTAAAGGCGTGCGCCACCACCGCCCGGCTAACTTTAGGGTTTTAATATCTAGAGAAGAAGCTCATGTGAAGTGGAAGTATTTCTAAAGTGTGTGTTTATTGCATTTAGTCCTTGAATTCTCTATGTAAAGTCTGATTCTCTTTCTACTTGACAACAGTATCAATGTAGATACGCAGGGCACTTCAAGGTGCACAGTAAAGGCACTACTTCATGACAAGAAGTTAGGAGGTCTCACCCCCACGTTGGGCGCTAGAATGTCACTGTCTCTGATACCTGAGGGCAGGGGGTGGGTAGACTCAGAGTCAACAACACAGACTCCAGGAGATTTGCAAGCAATCTCTCCTTTATTAAACAAAGGGCTGAGGGTTGTGTATGTGGCTTTTGGCTGGCTTTTGCTTCCAGCTGCTGTGGCATTTCTTGGTTGGCTCCAGGCTGCATGTCATTATCTTTCAGTTTGGAGTTTACGGGTCAGGTTTCCTCGGGCCAGAGTGCTTTCTGCACATGTCACAGCTCATTGTTTGCTTAAGGAGTGGCCTAGTGCGTGGGCCTTTGCCACCTCAATTCAGTGTATCCTAACAGCTAACAACAAACACAGTATATGTGCTGCTTTCAAATTCAACAGTTTAAAACTATCTAATGTATTCAGAGTTTTATATCCTGAATTTATTAAAAGTCATCTCCATATAAATATATGCTAAAAAACGATGTCATTTCTTTTCTTGGGCCCTGTGACCAGGTATCTTTAATTACATCTCAATCTCTTTTTGTGGTTTTGCTCACTTTGTGTTCCCTGATCTTAAGCAAAAACAGAGTAACCTTTTTCATTTTTATTGCACCTACTACCCATGTGTTGGATGTGAGTGGACACACGTAGATACTACTTTAATTTTGTTTTCAGATCATTCATTACCTTGTTTCCTAGAGGTCCCTGAGCTCTCTGTTGTGGTGCTTATGCGTGCCCTTACTGTACCTCACTTCTGCTGCCCACTTCTCGAGCCTTAGTCCAGGCAGTTAGCCAGGGGGAGGGAGTGGCTGAATAACCCCTGGAAGGCAGTGACCTTCACTCCGTCTTCAGTCTTTCCCCAACATTTCAGGAGTATTTTTATTGTTTGTAAGTTTGGTTAGAAAACTGAAGTTCATTGTTAGTATGTATTTGTAGTTTTCTGTTTTTCTTTTTCCCTCAGGAGAAATCTCTCCCTGGTGTGGTGATGGCACTTGTATGTAATGTGTTTGACATGCTATATCAGCTTGCCAATCTAGAGGAGCCAAGGTAAATGCGTGTGCGTGCGTGCGTGCGTGCGTGTCTGTGTGTGTGTGTGTGTGTGTGTGTGTGTGTGTGTGTGTGTGTATAGAGAGAGAGATTACTGAAGCTATAGCTTATATGAAAATAATTATTTTATTTTTGAAATTTTCTCAGGATAACTCTACGAGTACGGAAGCTTCTGCTCTTGATACCTACTGATCCAGCCATTCAGGAAGCCCTTGATCAGCTGGATTCTTTAGGCAGAAAGGTATTTAAGTTTTTGATAGTTATTTAGCTAGCTTAAAATTTTGTGTCATGATTCATTGAAAGCATTGCCTGAATCCTATGAAGGTCATATGATAGCATCTTTCTATAATACTTTTTTTCCCTTTTGAAAAATACCCTTGCATGAGCCAGGCGGTGGTGGTGCACGCCTTTAATCCCAGCACTTGGGAGGCAGAGCCAGGTGGATCTGTGAGTTCAAGGCCAGCCTGGTCTACAGAGTGAGATCCAGGACAGGCACCAAAACTACACAGAGAAACCCTGTCTTGAAAAACCAAAAGAAAAGAAAGAAAGAAAAATACCCTTGCCATAAGTTAAAATTAGAACTTTGTGTTGCCTTGTAAAGATCCAAAAAGATGTGTAAAGTTTTAGGAAGAGCCTTTGCCTGGTATAAAAGAGGAGACTGATGCCCAAAGAGATGTACTTAACTGTCAGGGATCAGGCAATTCTGATGCTGTTGAGATGTTTTCCTTTTTAAGATGCTGAGGGGGTCTCTGCAGGTGTCAGTGCAGGTAATGATCCGAGAAGAAGTGAGAATGAAAACTCAGTTCATACTGACTTTATCAACCTGGATTAAACCTTGGGGAGTCTGATGCCAGGTGGTTTATTGCCAACAAATTTTAACACAGTATAATTTGGAAAAAAGTTTCCTGGTGTAATACAATCCCCAGTGCGCAAGGAGGCATAACTATATCAAAACTCAACTCAGGGTACATGTCATTTCTTCCATGAAGATGGGTTCTGGAGATAGGCTACATGTATTAGCTTAAGGGCCTAGGGAAGGATCTGGCCTGGTCTCAGTCATACAGATAGCATAGAGGTCATTTGGGCTATTAGCCACCTCTGGTGCTGGTTGTACGAGCATGATATGGCCTGGACCAACAGATAATGCAGATCACCAGGATATTAATTACTTCCAACTCTTAGCTTCCTGGATGGAAGAACAGGTTATACATTTGAGAGGGTATTCCTTTGAGAGGACAATCCTGTGTGCTTAACATTCCTGGTTTCCCTATAGATCTGTGAGTGCAGGGACCTTTGAGCTCCCAACAAGATGCCTCCCTGGATCTGATTATTCTGTCTGAAGTCTTTGTATAAATGAGTCATCATTACTTTTTTTTTCACAAGTAATGCTTCAGTTCGTTTTGACTGAGCATGTTGGTGCCTGCCTGTAATCCCAGCACTCGAGACAGAGGCACAAAGATCTGAGTTCAAGGTCAACCTGAACTACATATCAAGAGACTAAAAGAACAAGGGGTGGGCATTGTGACACTTGCCCTCATACAAAGGTCTGAGTTCAGTCCCTATCACCGCAAAGAAAAAAGGAGACATAATGAAGTTAATTTTGTTTAATTTTCAGGATATTGTTCCCTAAGAGATTTACATATAAACTATTTTATAAGTCATATTTTTGAATTACATCCTCAGAAGAAATTCATTTATAACAAAGTTGTTGAAACTGAGTTTTGTATTTAATATTTTAGTAGTTGAAAATTGGATCTGCTCAGTCATGTCATCTGTGGCTTAGGTATTAATTTGAGAGAGAACTGATGTAACTGAAATATGTCAGCTGTATCAGCTGAAAATAACCCTCAAGAGTCCTCTGTTAGCAATCTTACAGTTTTGTTAAAAGCACACAGTTTAAACATGGAAACAAATTAAAATGATTTGGCTAGTGTTTCTAAGAACGAAGTCTCGAAGCGTTCATGGAGTGCTTGGCCATCATTCATTAAACTCAGTTGTGTGCTTTCTTAGTAGAGAATTAGGTGGTTTTACAAAGTGGGTTGGTTTTTTTGAGAACTTGATTACTGTGGCTTACACTAAAGAGGAAACAAGCACAAAGCCTTGAGATCTGCTTCCCCTTGAAGTGTGATTTGAAGACGTGTGCTTCTTCTCCACCCTTTTAAACGTAGAAAACCTTGCTCTCGGAAGCAAGCTCCCAGTCTTCAAAGTCTCCGTCCCTTTCGTCGAAGCAGCAGCAGCAGCAGCAGCAGCCCAGCGCCAGCTCCATCCTAGAGAGTTTGTTCCGCTCTTTTGCTCCCGGCATGTCAACCTTCAGGGTGCTCTACAACCTGGAAGTAAGAAACGCCCTTTTCCTTGCATTTCGTTGGACAGGCCCATTTTGGTTGGGAGAGTCATGCTTTCAGACACCAGAAACAAGTGAAAGATTTTATTAGGGGATGATCTGCTAGAAGATCAATGTAGGGAAAAGGGGGATAAATTGAAACTTTTTTCACCTTTGAAAATTCTTAATTTTCTTTTTCTATTTATACAAAATAGCACCTAGGTAAAGGAGTAGGAAATCTTATATGTCATGCATCTTGTTGCCTTCCTCTGTAAGCTTGGCAAGTCTAGAATAGGAGTTATCTTTCACTTTCTTGATTCCATACAGTATAATACTTCTTTAAGTTGTAGTTTGTTGACATTGAGATTTATGAAGAGTTTGTCAAGAAGCACACTAACATTACTATTTCAAGTTCTAAGAAGACTATTAAATGAATTAGAGCAATTATTTTTATTATCTCTTAGTATCTTTTATTTAGTCATTTCAGGTTTTATAATAAATGCATAGACTGAAGTTGCTTTAAACCACAATTTATTATTGTTCATAGTTGTGGAGAGTGGACAGCCCCAGATCAAAACATGAGCTGACTGAGTGTCTGATGGGGCCCCTCTTCCTGGTCCATAGACATCTGTGCTTTCACTGTGCCTCACTTGGTAGATAGTGGGTGAAAGGGCTCTCTGATGTCCCCATCGGGAAAGCGTCACGTTCGTGACTTAATCATTTCCCACAGCCTCTACCTTCTAGTACACCCTGGGGATTTAAATTTCAAAAAGAGAAATTAGGGCTTGTCTTAGTTAAGGTTTTTATTGCTGTGCAGACACCATGACCATGGCAACTCTTATAAAGAAAACATTTAATCAGGCTGGCTCACTTACAGTTTCAGAGGTTCAGTCCATTACCATCATGACAGGGAACATGGTGGCATGCAGGCAGACATGGTGCTGGAGAAGTAGCTGAGAGTCCTACATCTTGCAGGAAACAGGAAATTGACTGAGACACTGAGCGGAATCCTGAACATAGGAATCCTCAAAGTCCGCCCCCACAGTGACACTTCCTCCAGTAAGGCCACACTCACTCCAACGAAGCCACACCTCCTAATAGTGCCATTCCCTATGAGATTATGGAGGCCAATTACATTCAAACTACCACAGGGGGTGTACAGTCATTCAGCCTAATACAATTACTTCTCTCATTAAAAATAGCTTTAAATGAATAGATTTAATTCACCAAACACTACTTTTCTCCTGTGTGCAAATCATTACAGTGGTTAAAAAAGACAAAGAAATTGCTTCCAGGTTTATGTAAGACACATGGGATACTGGATGTCCTTAATTAGGGAAGCAGTGTATAAACAAAGTGGGAGGTGTCTGGGTACAGACACTTCTGTTCCCAGGGTCTCCTAGTTCAAACCCTCCAATCACTATATTTGTAGAAGATAAAACCTTGAATGAATTGGCTTTATCCTAGAGATATATATCCACATCAGTAACTTAGCAGCCTTAAGTGTATCCTGAAGCCTAAATAGATAACCGGTATCTTGAGTAGTATGTACTTTGAATAGATTTTGAATCATAACGAATGTCATAGTCAGTAAAGGGAAACCTGTCTTTTCCCTGAGGTTTATTCATCTAATCTAACTTGGAGTATATAATTATACTCTTTTTTTCTTCCACTTGTTCCTTATGTGTTCAAAGTATGATGATATTGCATACTAGCCTTGAAGTATTCATCTTTGTGAAAAGATAGATTAGTTTTAAGAAGGAAAATATTTAGTCAAACATTTTAAAAATGAAATATGACCTTGTATAACATGGATATTTAAAAATAAGTGCAATATTCCAAGACAAAATAGTCTAGAGGGTTTTGGCCTACTTAAACTTAAGATTTTTTTATCTTGTAATTTCTACTAGATAACTGCTTTTGAATGGATATTTCTGAAAGTTAAGGTGTAATTCCATCATCTGTATTGAGAGCACCTAGCAAAGCAAGACCAGCAGTGGGGTGGAGCTCATCACCATCCCCTTCAATTGCGTTGTCTTATAACCAAAGCACCGTGGTTATAAAGTATCACAGTGTAATTTAAAACATCTCCAGTGTAGTGTAATCTTAGGGCTGCAATAACTGTGAATTCTGTGATAGATGTTTTGCTTCAAATGTACAAAATTGTACAAAATAAGTGGAAAACCTAACTCTCCCAAAAGCACTTATTTTTTTTCAAGTGCCTAAAAATGATCATTTCCTTGAATTTTGCTCATGAGTGTTCATTAGCCCACCAGGAAACCTCAAACTTGGTACTATAAATACCTGTTCCTTTCAAGAAAATAGATTTTTACTAAACTGTGGCTCACTAAGAATGGGGTGTGTGTCAACGGTAGCAGATACTGTGCTCCCAGGAAGGACTGCAGAGCAGAGGACTCCCCTTCTCCCTCATTGTTCTTACTCTGAAACTGAGGAGCTCCCTTCCCCAAAGAGAGCCTAGGAAGAAAGTGTCTAATTAAAAACCACATTCAGTATACAAGCTCAGAGTGCCCAGAGATTGAGAGAAGTAGAATTTTTAGAATAGAAAGTATTTTGAGTTCAAAATATCTAGTTTAAAACTATGATTGTAAGAGATTTTTTAAATCGTAACAACAAAATGAGCTATTGTTTCCTGAACACTTGGTACTGCTGCTCACTTAGCACCTTAAAGTTGTATTTTACTTAGTCTGACAGTCTACTGATGTGTATAATCATAATCCTCTGTTGGCTGATGAGGAAAATGAGGCAATACGAACATGACATGTATATGATCTCTCAGCTTGTAGCTGGTAAAATTAGAGCACAAACTAAATTGGTACTGGGTCGTGGTGATCTGTGAAATAGAATCCTCCACCCACCACAGAATTCATTTAAGCTGTAGGTAGTTATTACAGTATCAGAGAAGGGCAGAGATGTTCGAGTCACCTAGATTTGAAATGTCATCTTGAGACCTTCAGCCCTCACTTACAGAGTGAGGGGCAGGCATGTGCCGAGTGCAGAGCACGTGTCCAGTGAATGGCAGCTGTGTTCGCCAAGGACTTCAGCTCATGCATTTGGTTTGGGGCTGTTTATAAAACTCTGTCCTGTATGTATTTAAAGAGCTTATTTTGCATATTACATAAATTTATTTGTTGTTATCTAAGCTTGAAGGCATTTCATGGAAATTTGGTTCAAAACTAGAAAAAGAAATCCTAATTAAATGCAGTATTGAAAAATGTGATTGTCTTTATTGGGGGGAAATCAGCCTTCATAATCTGGGGGAAACTAAGATGTGGCATTAAAGAAATTCTGGTTTGAGTTATTTCTACAGAAAATGTTAGGGTGATTAACTTTGCTTCTTTGCTCCCCAGGTTCTAAGCTCCAAACTCATGCCAACAGCTGACGATGACATGGCAAGAAGCTGTGCAAAATCCTTCTGTGAGAACTTTCTCAAAGCAGGAGGTTTGAGGTTTGTGAGTGGCAAAACCAATTATGGTCATGTAGTTTAGTTCTCTCGCAGAAAGAAGCCTTGCTTCTTCCTTCAGTGTATTGTGTGAAGCATTACCAGGGTTAAAACAAAAAGCAATGGTGTGTATCTCTCCCCTCTAGTAGTGGGGGGAATTTTCAGGAAGAGTGCTGGTGAAGCGGCCACACTGCAGCAATATTGATGCTGGTGACGTGGGGTTAACTGGGCAGAAGCTTTCTCATCACAGGCTTGGGCCTAAAGAGTAACAGCTAGCTAGCCTGGACGTAGGCAAATGGTCTTAAGAGGTGGCATATGGCCAGTGCTGAGGAGAGGGAGAAAGTTGGGGTAATAGGGCTAAGAAATCCCTTCACCATAAAGGGGTCTTTGAGCTGAGAATTAAGAATGAGTAGAATTTTCAGTGAGCCGAGAAAGAGTGTTCTAATCCAAGGAGAGGACAGATGAGTGAAAAGCATCAAATGTATTGTTTGTCTCTTGTGTTGCAGTTAGACTTGAGTAGAAGGTAAAAAGTGACGAAAGGTGCTCAGGCAGGAAGGAGTGAAGACCAGCTTGAAGTCTGAGCAAAGGATGCTTAATACACGTTCTCTATGGAAGAGGAGCATAGAAGAGAAGCTAGGCAGGGACCTGGAAGATAGAGGGGAAATGAGGGTTCAAAGAATTCCCAAGCAGCAGCTGGATAGATGGCCCAATGGCTAAGAGTGCTTACTGCTCTTACGAAGGACCTGGGTTCGGTTCCCAGTACCCACGTGCAGCTCACAACCATCTCTAAGGTAACTACAGTTCCAGGGCATCCAACACTGTCTTCTGACCTCCACAGGATATTACAAGTATACACATACACATAAAATCAATATTAAAAAAGAATGTGGAAGGTCTGGTACATACAAGAAAGTTTTTGTTGTCTTCCTTTCCCCCACTTCCTCTCTTGCCTTCTTATCCCTGCCCATCCCCTCCTTCCTTGAGATAGGGTCTTACTCTGTAGCCCAGGTTAGCCTGGAATTAACTTTCTAACTCAGGCCTGCCTTTATTATGTCAATTCAACAGCTTTGCTACGGCCACCATATCCAGTTTTCAATCTGCATTTTAGAAGTGTTCCTCTTTAAAAACTTATCTCAAAAGCCAGGTATAGTAGCACACGCCTTTAATCCCAGCACTCAGGGAGGCAGAGGCAGGTGGATCTCTGTGAATTCAAGGCCAGCCTGGTCTACAGAGTGAGTTCCAGGACAGCCGGGACTGTTACACAAAGAAACCCTGTCTCAAAAAAACAAACAAAAATTCATTTACCCAAGAGTTTGCATGTCTGTGATGGTCCAAGCATTATACTTGAACTTATTTGCGTGTATTTGTTCATCTGTCATGCATTGTTTTAAGCAATGGATACAGAGCAGTAAGTAAAGTAGACGAAATCCATGTTCCTATAAAGTTTGCAGTCTTAGCAAGGGAGACAAACAGTAGGCCAATGAGGAAAGGTTTATGTTAGAGGGTGATAAGAGCTATAGAGAGAAATAAAATGGAAATGTCCACTTGAAAAACACAAAGAGGCAAGGCTTGAAGAGAGCTAGGGACCGGTCTCCAGAAGAGTAGCTAGTTTCTATTCTTGTATAGAGAAGCTTAGTGACCTATGTAGGACACCAGAGTGGTTGAGGCCAAATGAGTGAGGCCGAGAAATAGAATGTGGCATTCTGGGAACACTCAAGAGCAGGACATGTAGAACCTTATACTCTGCTGTGCACACCCTGCCTTTTCCTTCCATGGAGGAAGCATAGAACAACTTCGTACAGCCAGGTACCATGAGCTGATTCATATGTTGAAAGAATCACTCTGCGTGACCATCTAAGAATAGATTTGGAGGTTGGAGAGATAAGAATGGAAGCCAGAAAAATGAGGAAGCTTTTGAGTAATGAATGTGTAGTAGAGATGGAAACAAGCTTGACTGAATAGACCAATCCTTGATATTTTTTAAAATTACTAGTTCCACTAATATCAAGATAGAAATTACTCAGTGATGCCAAACCAATTAGTGAGACAGGCTGCTACCTGAACACACTACCTGGGTTATCTGTTAGGCTAAACCATAGTCCAATTCTTATGAAAGTCCTTGTGAAAAAAATATGGAAGTCCATATTTTTATCAAAAAGTATGTATATAGATAGTTCATTTATATGTAGAAACGTGGTTACTAAGAACATTTATGGGCTATTGCATTAGTTATGGACAGGTTTCTATTTTTTTAAAAATTGATGTCTTTCATATACTTTCTTTGTTGTTTCTTTTGAAGTTTGGTTGTAAATGTCATGCAGAGAGACTCCATCCCATCAGAAGTAGACTATGAGACCAGGCAGGGTGTTTATTCTATCTGTCTACAACTTGCAAGGTATGCAGATGTATTGCATTATTCTCACAAATTTTATCATTTTAAAATAGTATGAAATAACTGAGTAAGTGTTACTTTTTATTTTTAAGGTTTCTACTTGTCGGACAGACAATGCCAACATCATTAGATGAAGACCTCACCAAAGATGGTATAGAAGCACTTTCTTCCCGTCCATTCCGAAATGTGAGCCGGCAGACAAGCAGACAGATGTCCCTATGTGGGACCCCAGAAAAGTCATCCTACAGACAATTGTCAGTATCTGACAGGTCTTCCATTAGGGTTGAGGAGATCATCCCTGCTGCCCGAGTTGCAATCCAAGTAAGTGGCTGGTGAATATAGAAGTATTCAGTACCTTCTGCTTGGGAGAGGGAACTGGGTGTGGAATAGCTCCAGTGTGAACACTGCTTTCAAGCAGTTGAGCAGAAGTAGGAAAGAAAATGACTACAGGTACAGAAGTAGCTTAATCAAGGCGAAGTATCAAGTGTACAACTACAGAAGCAAAGCATTCTGGGAGCCTCAGCAGTGTGGGGTCTTCCACCTTTGCTGCCGTGTGTACTTGATTTTGGAAGTGGCGCCTGAGCTAGGTCTTAAAGACCAAATGGTTCACAGAATGAGGGGGTTGGAGAGGAGACTTAATTCAAGTAAAAAGAACAAAGCCAGAGCTTCCATGCTAAGCTCACATGGAAGCTGAAATGTGCTATGTACACTTCAGGAGAGGAAATGGCAAAAACCTAAGTTGAGCATGGAGATTGGAGGCTACAGTTAATTGATCTTAAAACTAAGCAGTGTGGTAGTGTGAGAAGGCAGCCCTGGCTGATCTGAGAGGGAAGAGTTGTAACCTGAGGCCACAGGGTCAGAAAAGTCAGCGGATGTCTTCAAGAGCAACACTGCCTTTCTCCTAACATCCTTTCTGTACCTCCTCAGACTATGGAAGCCAGTGATTTCACGGCCACTGTCGCTTGTTTCATGAGACTGTCATGGGCTGCAGCTGCAGGGCGGCTTGACCTTGTTGGAAGTAGCCAGCCGATTAAAGAAAGTAATTCTCTGTTTCCTGCTGGGATTAGAAACAGACTCAGCAGTTCAGGTACTGATTTAGAATGGGACGGTGCTTTTCAGTGTGTGTGTGTGTGTGTGTGTGTGTGTGCGTGCGCACGCGCGCGCGTGCGCGCGCACGCGCACATATATGTATATATATTTATAACAATAATAATTAAAGAGGGAGAGTCCATAAATTTGAGAGGGAGTGGGGGTGTTGGATGCAGATAGAAATGATGTGAATACAGTACTCATGTAGAAAAGTCTCAAAAAATAAACACAATAATAAAACATTAGGCAAGAGGTAACTGTAAGAATAATCCATGTGCAGATTTGTCAGATTATAAAAAGAAGTTTTTTTCTCTTGCCTTTAAACATGAGTAAAAATTCATCATTTTTGACACCTTATTTAAGAGAAAAGGCATTTTTTCATTAAGAAAATTTTTATTCATTTTACATACCAACCAGAGACCCCCCTCTCTTCCCTCCTCCTCCCCCCCACCAGACTTCACCCACAACCCACCCCCCATTCCCTCCCCCAAAAAGGTAAGGCCTCCCATGGGGAGTCAGCAGAGCCTGGTCCATTCTGTTGAGGCAGGTCCAAGCCCCTCCCCCTGCATCAATGCTGTGCAAATTGTCCCACCATAGGCACTGGGCTCCAAAAAGCCAGCTCATGCACCAGGGATAGATTCTGATCCTACTACCAGGGGCCCCCTTAAGCAGATCAAGCTACACAAGTGCGTCGTTTATGCAGGGGGCTTCATCCAGTCCCACGGAGGCTCCACAGCTGTTGGTCTAAAGTTCATGAGTTCCCACTAGTTTGGTTCAGTTGTCTCTGTGGGTTTCCCTATCATGATCTTGATGTCCCTTGCTCATAGAATCTCTCTTTCCTCTCTTCAATTGGACTTCTGGAGCTCAGCCTGGTGCTTGGCTGTGCATCTCTGCATCTGCTTCCACCAGTTACTGGATGAAGGCTCTATGGTGACAGTTAGGGTAGTCAGTCTGATTACCAGGGTAGGCCAGCTCAGGCATCCTCCCTACTATTGCTGGTAGTCTAAGCTGGGGTCATCCTTGTGGATTCCTGAGATTTTCCCTGGCACCAGGTTTTTCCCTATCCCCATGATGTCTCCCTCGATCAAGGTATCTCAAGAAAGGGCATTTATTAATGCATAGAATAAGTAGAGATGTCAAGTCCAACCATTTTTAGCTTTCCTGAGCATAAAAGTGTGTTACAAGGCCTATAATTTGTGGCTGAAACACAAATTCCTCAGATGTCTAACATAGTAAACAGTTCCTTTCTTGGTTTGGCAGGGTTCCACGCCCACCCGTGTGTGTGTGTGTGTGTGTGTGTGTGTGTGTGTGTGAGAGAGAGAGAGAGAGAGAGAGAGAGAGAGAGAGAGAGAGAGAGAGAGAGATGCATAGTGTATATGTGAGCTAGAGATCAACCTAAGACTATTGTTGTTCAGGTATCTCTTGGTCTCTTTGTTTTGGGGTAAGGAGGCTATTTTGAGACAGGGTCTCTCACTGGCAGAAATCACCCATTTGGCTGGCCTGTCTCAGCAAGCCCTAGGAATGTGCCTGTATCCACCTCCCCAGCACAAGTATGTGTTACCATGCCCAGCTTTTACATGGGTTCTGCGTATTGAGTTGAAGTTCTCATAATAAGAATTTTACCAACTGAGTTATCCTTCTAGGGCCTGTCAACTTATTTTCTATTAAGCTTTTTTATGTAGTTTTATTTCTTAACTTTGTTTAGTTTTCCTGCTCTGTATGCTTATAAATACATCAACAATAAAAGGTTTTTCTAGTTTTGTTTGGTTGTTTTGTTTTGTTTTGTTTTGTTCGAGATAGGCTCTCAATTGTAACCTTGGCTGGCCAGGTACTTGCTATATAGACTAGGCTGACCTCAAACTCACAGAGATCTGTCTACCTCTGCTTCTCCATTGCTACACTGAAGGTGTGTGCCTCTATACCCAGCTTAATAATAAAAGGGTTTTTTAAATTATGACGTATAATATGCAGAAATGTTAGATAAATCATATTTGTATATCCATGTAATACATCAAGATTATCTTACAAGATATAAGACATTCTCCCACCTGAAAGTAGTTTTGTCTTGGGAAAACATTTTTGAATCCCTGTAAATGTGTTTAAGGACAAAGCAGTTAGTGTGTATCCAATACAGAGATTCATCGCCTTTTCCCTAGCAATGCTTTCTTGCAGTATTTACTGTTGCACAGGGACTCTGGGTCTTACATTAAAACATTGCATGGTCCTAGGAGCTACACTAAACTTATGTCCTCTGCTTTCAGGAAGCAATTGCAGCTCCGGCAGTGAAGGAGAGCCAGCAGCCCTGCATGCTGGCATCTGTGTCCGGCAGCAGTCTGTGTCCACCAAAGACGCCCTGATTGCTGGAGAAGCTTTGTCTCTTCTCGTTACGTGCCTGCAGCTTCGGAGTCAGCAACTGGGTAGGAGGCGGCTTATTAGTAATTCATTTCTTTGAGAGAAAAGCTAGATTTCCGTTAGGAGTGGATATTGCTTTATAAATATCTCCTTTTGGTGAGAGAAGGGGTGGGAGAGTAAGGATGTGGCACGGCGGAAATGGCGCTAGAGTGGTTGATTCTGCAGGATATTTGAGTGTTTATTGAGGCTTTTGTGTACATATGTGTGCATTTGTGTCAACACACACAATTCTACATCAGGTGTTATAGGACCCTGTTAGAGATGATTGGAACTAAGGAATTGAAACACCCAGGTTACTAGTTTATAATAAATTATATGTTCCTGGTAATGACCCATCATTAAAATTTATAAAACCTAGGTCTGGCTTTATAATCTTTCTTACTGACTTCAAGTGATTGGGGATGCTGGGCCTTAGTCCCTCAATATCTCTGCTCTGTTCTTTCTTAGTGACTCCATCCAGTTTCATAGCCTTAAATCTACCTAGACACTGATATCCAACATGTTAGTTTGAGTCTGTGGCCTGGGCCACTCCCCTCATAGCTCTACTTGAGGTATCTCACATCTAACCTGTCCAAGATGGACTTTTATCTTACCTATATCCCTCAGAATTCTCCCAGTTTATGGGCAGTTCCAACCTCTTGAATACTCTGGCTAAGAACCTTGGAATAACTACTGTGTTTTACTGTATCTGCATCTGTTTTGGGAGCACAGCCTCCTTCAGACCGTACTTAAAGTCCACACATTTGTACCTGTTGTGGTTAGTACTTTCAGAATGCTGCTGTCTCTTAATCGAATTGTACCAATATTGACCTGATCTCTCTCCCTACTTCTGCCCTTGCTGTTATTCTTTATGCCCCAGAGAGGGCCTTTTAATGTATTGGTTATATCATACCATTCTTTCTTCAGAACTTCCAAGCTTCTCTGTTCAGCTCCAGTAAAGACCAAGTCTTTATGAAGCCCCCAAACCCAACACCGTCCACTATACCAGTGAATCTGTTTTCCCATCTTCTACTTTGCCCCTCATTCACTGGCATCTTGCTATTTCCTCAGTACACAAGCTATGTTCCTGCCACAGACCCTTTGCACTGACTCTTCCCCCTTCCTCTTAATGCTCTTTCCTCATCTGCAAGTCTTTGCATACATAGTACTCTGGTTAGACATCCTCTGACCATCTTTCCCTGTGCCCTCACACAACCCAATCCCCTCCCCTTATTCTTTGAACATCATTTGTTTTTATAGCCTTCAGTATAATACACTTATTTATCATGGTGTTGCCATCATCCCCTTTTCTAACTACGTTTTGAGCTCTACAAGCTAGAGACTTGTTCATTTTGTTCCCTGCTGAATCTCCAGCACCTAAGCACTGCCAAAGGAAGCTCTCAGGAAATATTCAGAAACAAAATCTTAGCCATTCAGTTTCAGATGTGTACTATTGTCTAGTCTTAGCTGTAATTACCTGTTTCAGGCCACCAGAGAGACAGAATCGATGGTCATGGTGTATTTTTTTATAGTTTACTTATTTTTGTTGTACATACATTGATATTTTGCCTGCTTGTATTTCTAGTTACAGACAGTTGTGAGCTGCCATGTGGGTGCTGGGCATTGAACTTGGGTCTTCTGGAAGAGCAGCCAGTGCTCTTGACCACTGAGCTCTCTCTCTAGCCCCAATGGTATATTTTTTTAATATCCAGACTAATTGTATAAATCAGAAGTGAAAATTAATCAAGATAAACATAGAAATTAGGCATCTTTATTTCCAACTTTATAATTAATTAAAGTAATACCTTCAGAAATTTTCTCTGAGAACAAATGCATTTGAAGATTTTTATGTGAGAAGCATAAGCCCTTATATGAAATGGCTTTTTAAACCTGTACCATACTCATAGTTTAATTTTCCTGGTATCGTTTGATTTAGAGGTTTTCAAGTTGAAAAAAAAATACAACTGCTCCATATCTTTATTTTTTATCATGTATAAACTTAGTTGAGGGTGTATTTTGTGTTACTAGCACTGGTAGGTTTTTTTTTTTTGTTTTTGGTTTTGGTTCTTCGAGACAGGGTTTCTCTGTGTAGCTTTGCGCCTTTCCTGGAACTCACTTGGTAGCCCAGACTGGCCTCGAACTCACAAAGATCCACCTGCCTCTGCCTCCCGAGTGCTGGGATTAAAGGCGTGCGCCACCACCGCCCGGCCTGGTAGTTTATTGAGCTAAGACTTCCTCATTCTGTAACTGGTACACACGAGGCAGTGATTCAAAGATGTGCAATGCTGCACCTTACGTTCCCTGGACTTACTGGACAGACAGGGGAGGCCATTGTAGATGTCCTAGGGTTTGACTCTATGCAGAAAGGAGAAATTTCCTACTTAAGTTTGAGCTCAGCAACCTTTTGTAAGTGTACCACCTAATTAGTTCTTTCTCCTTCCTTCCTTCCTTGTCCTCCTCAGCGTCTTTCTATAACTTGCCATGTGTTGCTGATTTTATCATTGACATTTTGCTTGGATCACCAAGTGCTGAGGTAAGGATTTCTATTACTCAGGAAGCCTTTTGGTCTTGTTGCTATGGACTTTTCATGAATGCCTGTGGAGTATAGAAGGAATGGCTGCAGACCACCGCCACTCGGAAGGAAGAGTGACGTTTGGACTACCGCCTGCCTTCTGTTTCTTCTCCACAGTCCAACAGAAGTTTCAGCACTGGGGTTAGAACTGCTTGATGTTTGGTTTTGTTGTTGTTGTTGATGGTGACCAAAGAGCAGCCTCTGGTGTTGAGCATCTGAGACCTGCAAGGCAGCAGGAATTAAGCTTCAACATGTTGGTCAGAGTCTGGAGAGATCACCTTCAAACCATGAACTTTCATCACGTTTTACTTCTCTCATATGTGACCATGAACGTGAAGTTTTTAAATACTTGAAAATGGGGTTTTCTGACTTTTATTTTCATTGAGTTAAAAACTTGTTGACTCAAGTAAAGTAATCATTAGTTTCCAAACCACTTTTTTTTTCTTTTTCTTCTTTTTTCTCCTCTTTGGTTTTCCAAGACAGGGTTTCTCTGTGTAGCCCTGGCTGTCCTAGAGCTAGCTCTATAGCCCAGGCTGGCCTTGAACTCACAGAGATCATCTGCCTCTGCCTCCCAAATGCTGGGATTAAAGGTGTGTGCCACCACCAATTAATTAATCCACTTACTCAGCAGAATCTTTAGCATTCAAAATTAGAAGAGTTACACCTTTCTAATATCTTTCAGTCATGTGAATGAGTAAATGGTGTGGATTTTCACAGTGTTGCTTTTTAAAGTAGTTTGACATTGATAACATCTGTCCTTTACCATTGGTGACATTTCAGATCCGCCGGGTTGCCTGCGATCAGCTGTATACTCTCAGTCAAACAGACACTTCAGCCCATGCAGAAGTGCAGAAGCCAAATCAGTTCCTCTTAGGCGTCATTCTCACAGCTCAGCTGCCTCTCTGGTCCCCAACCAGTATCATGAGAGGAGTCAATCAGAGGTATGTAATACAATGAGAATGGAGAAGTGATTGTACTCCTCCTGTGAAGCCCATGTGGGTTCTTGAGACAAAAGGCCTTCTCCTTCCCCACCCAGCATCCAAGCTCTTCATGTTTTCTCCCAAGCAGAACACCACCAGGCTTCCTCTCCACCATCCTCACTCCCACCCTGCTCTCCCTAATTGGTGAGAGCCTGAGGTTATTTGAGCCAGTTCCCTGGGTCGAGGTCACACTTCTGTCCTCTTGCATGTTGCTTCCTCAGCTCTGATATTTTATGGGAGTCTGTAGATGACTCTGGGTACTTTGAGCATCTTGACTTTGTTTTCTAATTCATAAACATGAAATTTCTCATTATGTCATTTTTAATTTCTCCAGCAGTGTTTCCCACTTTATTGTATAAGACTTCTCTCCTTGAATAAGTTGAATCTCAAGTATTTTATTATTTTTACTGTAAATTGTAAATAGAATTGTAAATAGAATTGTCTTAGTTTACTTTTTACATTTTACACTGTTGGTAGGAGAAGCACAAGTTACTTTTGTTTGTTGACTTTTATATCCTGTAACTTTGCTAAATTAACAGGGTTCAGGTGAAATCTTTAGGGTTTTCCATATATTAATAGATTGATAAGTTTGTCAGATTAGTAAACAGATAAGTCCATTTCTACTTCTCCAATTTGGATGCCTTTTTTCTTGCCTACTTGCTCTGGCTAGAGTATTCAGTGTTCTGTTGAATAGAGATGATGAAAGTGACCAGCATGCTCTTTGGGAAAAGCTTCTGTCTTAGACTACTGAATGGGAGGTCCGCATGGAGTTTCGTAGGTGGCCTTTACTATGTTGAGGTAGAGCCCTTCGGTTCCTACTTGGATCATTATTTTGCTCACAGACCAATGCGGCAGTTGGTCGTCGGGTCCTTTTTATTCAATGTGTGTAGATGCTATACTTCACATGTGTCTGCACCATCTGTGTTCCTGGTGCTTGTAGAGACCAGAAAACCATCGGGGATCATCTGGCTCTGAAGGTTAGGAACCAAACCCAGGTCTTCTGCAAGAGCATTAAGTGCTCTTAACCTCTGAGCCATCTCTTTGAGTCTCCATGTTGGATGCTCTTGTCTGTCTCACTAGAGCTGAGGTGTGTGGGCTCCTTCACTCCCTTTCTGTTACTGTGGTGTTTGAGTGATTTTCTTTTTTTAAATGTTTGACTGTCGCTACATTCCAGGAAATCAGTTCTTGTTCATGTTACATGATCCTTTAAGTGTATCAGCTTGCTAATAGTGGGGATTTTCGCTTTAGCATTTATGAGAGACATTACGTTCAAGTTTTCTTGTGGAATCTTTGTTTGGCTTTGGTATTAGACCTTCTCTTCAGGGTCATAGAAGAGTTTGAGAAGGATCACTGTTATGTTTTAAGTATTTGATAGAATTTACCAGTAAAGCTTCCTGGCCTAGTGCTTTTCTTAGTTGGGAGTTTTTTTAGTTCTATTTTGTTAATGTTTAAGTTCTAGAATTTTTTTTTAATTTCATCTGGAATATTAATTTTTGTGAACAGTTGCTTATGTTAGTCTTTTTTCTGTAAAATCAATGGCAACATTCTCACTTTCATTTCCAAGTTGAATACTTGATGTTTTTGAGGATTTTTTGCTGGTTTTTGTCGATCTAACTAAAGATACCTAGGTGTTTCTGAGCCTTTTAAATACATACATTTTCTAGACGAGACAGTGTCCTCAGTTGTGTTAAGATCTTACCTGTCATTTGTGGGTTCATTACAAGATTAACAGTGTTTGTCAACATTGTTATACTCTCGTACACTTTTTAATGTATGAAAATCCCTGGTCCACATAGCTAAGTATCAACATGTCGCTTTGAAGCATTGGACTTTTAGGTTTTAAAATTAGTAATGTATAAATAAGAAGTTGATATTTTTTGATTTTGAAAATAGATCATTATGGGTGACTTGTTAAATTTTCAGCCCAAACTTCTGTTTGCAGCTTACCATCAGGATTGAGCTGTCTATTTTTAGTAATGAAAAATAATTGTTTAATAGTTTAAAACTAATTTTTAGGAAGTAGCTTTGCCTAGTAGGTATCTGAACTAAAAGTAGTTATCTTCTTTTTCCCTTGACTACTTTTGACTTTGGAATTGGAACTTTTCCTAGGTGAAGTTTTCCTAAGCATAAATGTTTTTATTTGAAGGATAGTGATTCTCAAGCGGTAGTTTTCAGTTATTTAAGAAGTTGAAGCCACTGGGCTTGTCCTCACTGTGAGAGTCACTTAATTCCTCTACATTTGAGGAAAAAGGCAAAATGGAGGGGTGTACACTGACAAATCTCCCCCGCCCACCTTTTCCCGAGTAACCAGTCAGAGGCATAATATTAATTACAAGCTGGTTGACCCATGGCCTAGGCTTATTACTAACTAGTGAGTTATCTTAAATTAACCCATTTCTATTAATCTATGTATTGCCATGTGTCTCATGGCTTTACCTGAGTTCCATTACATCTTGCTTTTCAGGCAGCGGCTAGCATCTCCCCCAACTCCACTTTCCTTCTCGGTATCTCTCTTGGATTTCCCACCTGGCTCTAACCTGTCTTGACATAGGCCAGAGCAGCGTCTTTGTTAACCAATGGTAGCCACACATACTCACAGCATACAGAACGACCATCCCACAGCAGAGGGGGCTGCAGTGATGACTCCGGTAAAGAGCACTTGTTGCTCTTGCAGAGGACCTGGGTTCGTTTCCCAGCACCCACATGGCAACATCATAACCCCAGTTCCATGGGGTCCGGGGCCCTCTTCCGACTTCTGTGGGCACCAATCACACACATAGTGCATGTACATACATGCAGATAAAACACTCACATGTAAAATAAAATGAGTAAATACTTTCTAAAAAAGACCAAACCATGAGATGAGATTTTAATAACTTTTTGACGGTATACCAACTTATGAAGCCGTTTAATTTTATATACAATTGAATAGTAATACTCTTCATAAATTTGAAATTTATATCTCACAACATTTTAAAAATGTCTTAGTTTGGTATATAATAAACAATTACCAAATCTTACTGTGCCACATAGTTTACCAAGGTTTTTGTGTGTCTGTTTATTAACACTCTGAGTTAGGATATTTTATTATTTGTTATTTTTAAAAATCTTGGTTCATTATACTTGCTTGAGCCATTTATGTCTATTTGAATATATGTGCATGTTTATTCTATAAGATTATAATAAACATTTAACAATTAGAAGACTGTGAGAAAGGAGATGTCCATGGACACTAGCTATAAGCAGTAGAGCCAAGATTGAATGAAACCAGTCTGACTCTAGAGCCTGTGCCCCTACCCACTGTAATACAGTCTGACTCTAGAGCCTGTGCCCCTACCCA